GCCCATTCCTCCACACAAACACTCTCCAAATCTTGAAGGTTATGCGGGCTTCTTCTATGAACTCTGATCTTAAGTTCTTTCAAAAGATGTTCTATTAGATTAAAGTCAAGTGATTGGCTGGATCATTCTAGCAGCTTTATTTTCTTTCTCTGAAACCAGTTGAAAGTTTCCTCGGCTATGTGTTTGGGGTCATTGTCTTGCCCATTACATCTTCATCATCCAGGTAGATGGCAGCAGATTTTTATCAAGAATATCTCTGTAATTTTTTTCATTCATCCTTCCTCCAATTATTTAAAGTTTGTTGGAACCACAGGCTGAAAAACAGCCCCACGCAATGATGTTGCTGCCTCCAAACTTTACTGTTGGTTTGGCGTTTTTTGGGTGATGTGCAGTGCCATTTGACCTCCAAACATGATGTGTATTATGGCATCTAAAGAGTAAAATTTTGGTATTACCTGACCAGACTATATTCTCCCAGTATTCCACAGGCTTGTCTAAATGCAGCAAACTTTAAATGAGCTTCAACATGCTTTTTCTTCAGCAATGGAGTCTTGCATGGTCAGCGTGCATACAGGCCATGGCGGTTGAGGGCATTACTTATTGTTTTCTTTGTAGCAATTGTACCTGCTAATTCCAGGTCTTTCTAAAGCTCTGGAAAAGTGGTCTTTGGCTCTTAGAAAACTCTTCTGATAAATCTTTTCAGCCGCTTCGGCCCCAATGGGTTTAAAGTTTAATCCGCCTGAAAGCTCAGAAAATAGGACCCAGAAGTCAAGCAGACAGGCCAGGGTATAATCACAAGCAACGTTTTATTAAATGCTCTGTGGCTCAACAGCTGGGGCAGGTTCACTGGATCCTCTGGTTTTGAGTTGAAACTTAGCCCAGAGGAAGGAGTTGAATCCAGAAGGATGGTTTCTCCACAGCATGCACCTACATCAGCCATCTTCTATGGAGCTGTTTGTTGGAGCAGTGGCTTATCTGTAGCTGAGAGAAAGCGGCTGGATAAGGTGATCAAGAAGGGCAGCTCTGTGATTGGATGCCCTCTGTGCAGGAGGTGGGAAACAAAAGGATCCTTACTAAATTAACATCTCTGTTGGATAATATTTCCCATCCCATGGATGAAGCTGTTACTGAACTGGAGAGCTCCTTTACTGACAGACTGCTACACCCTAAATGCACCAGGGAGCGTTATCACAGATCCTTCCTCCCAGCAGCTGAAAGACTCTAAAACCATCACTGTTCCCAACAACCCTAACAAGTTTTTACATTCATGCTGATTTTGCACAGTTTCTATCTTAGTCAGTTAAATAACATGCTGCTGTCATTTTGTACATCTCTGATGTTGCTGCTATTTTCAAATATCCATTACTGTAAAATTGTCTATCCATAGATATATATTGGTTATTTATTCTCCAAGTCCACAGTATTTATATTGTTAAAATACTTAACAGTAGAGCATTTTATTGTTTATCTTTTAACTCTTTACTAATATGGTATTCTCATACATTTTTCTAAGGTCCATATTTGTGTGATAATTTTTTTAAATAATATTTTTGCTGCTGTAAACACCAGAATTTCCCCATTCGATGCCTGATCCGATGAGGCGTCAGGCTCAAACATACCAGGCAGCAGCTTCAGGACCTGTTTGTCAACAGGATTCTGTTCGTCATCTGTTGAAATACGTTCGCTTGACCATCATCCACAAGTATTTTCATTGCTATGCGTTTCAGTTTGTAAATCCACCAAGTTGGCTAACAAATGTCATGTGGTGATGTCACACTTTCAGGTTCTGTATGGGCAAAAAAACGAAACCGAAGAAAAAGCATTTTTCTTAGAAAAAATGTTTAATCATTAGTTTCTTATTATCTCAAGACTCTGGTATTTAACAACGCTAATTTCACCCTATCCTTAATCAAGCTCCATTGGAGCTATAAGGTTGCCTACAATGCTTTTGTGAAAGGACCTGTTGGCAAAGTCCTTCTCATGGAGTTTAATTAACATGTTTTTTTTTATATGTACACTGTGTAACACATGTAAATGTATGCATCATCAGCTCAATCATAGCTCCTTCCTAACTGGCGGCACTAATAGGATATCACCTATAATGGAAACTACGGATGCACCTTCGCTATGGCTTTGGTTTTGTTACCCATTGGCCTTCATATGTTTTGGGTTTTAGAATTGAGTGCCTCAGCCGTTCAGTATATTTGTATAATTTACACTTTTTGTGGTTCTTTTCTGTAAGACTGTAGTTCTTGTTCAATCAGAATCGTTCATGTGTGTTTCTATTGTATAATGAAGAATATGATAATGGTTGAAGGCTGTCCAGATTCAGCACAGCAGCTCCTTTCCTACCCTGGAGAGATTTGTTATTGTTAAACCAAGTGAAAGGTGAAGGGATAGGAGTGAGAAACAGGAGGTATGAGCTACAAAATCCATGGACTTAAATGTGCAATAAACCAAATTTTGCCACTTGGGTTATTGTTCAGCCCTGCCTGTAGACCAAAACAAGATGTGTGAAAAGTAACGCCTCTCTCTCCCTGCCAAGTTCCTCACATAGACCCCAATGCACATGTGGCCACCTCAGCTTGTTCACAGGAGGCTGAAGAAGAAGACGGAGGTGGGGTGGGACATCAGAACATATTTAATCAAAAAAGATACTTTTAGTTCTCAAAATGTTTTGGTTCTTTATATCTAAATAAATATTTCCTATTGCTCTACTAAATAACTTGGGGATAAACTGAAAACACAAACAGGTATGAACCGCGACAACCATCTTTAACAGAAAGAAAACAAAGAGAAAAGCCTAACTTGAAGGTGTGAGGGGAGAACGCTGGTACTTGGTAAAATAACATGATATTTGTAATATTTGTATTGCATTTTTCTTTTTCATTGTGCCATATACACAGTAAAACGCAGCATACAAGCCAAAACATACTTTTAAATCCTCAGAAGGATTGCAAGATTTAAAAGTTCAGTTCTGGATATAGTTTACCATTCGTTCATATGTTTTTGATCTTGATTCAAAGGGCATACAGTAGGCGTACTTTGACGCAACTTTTTATTTAAGGAAACTCTTGTGTCTAGTTGGTGTTTTTTTAGTTTTGTTTTGAGTTTCCTTAAACCAGAGATTCCCTGTCAGTGTCTCTAAAAATCAGAGGTATCCCATCAAGCACTCGGGTCTTAGCTCCAACAGATGAAGCTGTCTCAGTCTTGCCACCGCTGGATGTGCAGCACAGAACAGCGCTGGAGGAATCCTTGCAAGAAACTGACCCATATGAGTGAAAAATCTAGAACTCACCAGAAAGCAGAGAAAAACCCTACAGCTCTAACCCCAGGCTCACACCGACTCCGGTCTTACCGTTGCGGTGCGGTGGGTGCGGCACCGCAGTGATTCCAAGTCATTAAAAAGACGTAAACCTCTCTCACCGGCTGCTGAGCTGTCCGGCTGCGGTTACCGAGACACTCCGGCGCTGCAGAAAATTCCGCAAGAAAGCTATCCTTGCGGCGTGCCGGAGCCCTCCGCAACAAGCTCTCGCAAAAATCCTTTATTTGGGCCGTGTTATCGCGTGAAGTTACGTGAACTCAAGTGAACTTCTGTTAAATCTCCGACCTGTTGCCGGAGCCGCAGAGCAGCACCGCACCGTAGTCAAAAGGGCGGTGTGAGAGGGGGTGTGCGGGAGTTGCGGTCTCCGTCGGCTCGGTAACTGCACCGGAGCCAGTGTGAGCAAGGGGTAATTACGGTAGCGTGTAGGACAGGGGTCACCAACTTTTTCGAAGGAAGGAAGGAAGGAAGGAAGGAAGGAAGGAAGGAAGGAAGGAAGGAAGGAAGGAAGGAAGGAAGGAAGGAAGGAAGGAAGGAAGGAAGGAAGGAAGGAAGGAAGGAAGGGATTGTGATTATATTATCTATATATATTGTGCATTACGTTTTGGAATAGTATAAGATTGAAGAGAACAGAGAAAGATGATAGGAACACTGATGAAAAGAAGAGAAAGTTGAAGAGAAAGGAGAAAAAATACCTTAGAAGAGTAAAACAGATAGCAGGCAGAAGTCAGAAGAGAGCTAGAAAGAAAAGGCCCTCAGAAACCAGGCAGCAAAACCTGGATTAATTAGCTCATCCATTAATGAAAGGCAGGTAACAAAGAGGCTAACTGAAGTTCAGGAAGTATTGGAGCTGTGCATAGAGCCCATTAGTGGGAGAAATTAACCTGCTTCTTTAAGATGCACAGGGCTCTCTAGGCTCCACGAAGTTGACCCTTGACCCCACCGGCCTCACCCCTACACCTTTCCCCGGACACAGAGACACAGTTCTAGTTTTTTTTTATTATTAACACAATCGATATGTCCATTTTATTAATCTGAAGAAAATATATAAGTGTGGAGAGGCATTCCTGGCTTTTACAATTGATTTGGTTTGTTAACACTTCCTAAATATAAACTTAATGAGATGTATTTCTTTTATCAAAAAGCTGGAATATCCCCACATTTGACTGCAGAAATCTGGTCACATTAGATTAAAGAAAACTTGAATTTGATGTATTCACTTTTTTTAAAGATGAATTCAACATGTTGATGAAGAAATTCTAAATATTACATAGCGTCTACTCAATAATCTTTTCTTTCTGTTCATGAACCAATAGTGTTAAGCTAACAGAAGATGCTTAGATACCACATCCTGCATATGGTGTGGTTTTTTTTTTTTCAGTTTTCAGAGACTTGGGGAAAAAGTGTGAGACTGATGCAAGAAAATATTTCTTACCATCTGTGGTTCTTTATTATCTTCCCAAACTTTTAATATGTGTGATGCTTTTTGTGGCCTTTTCAACTGAAGCTCAGCATTACTTGAACTCTAACATGCTTCCAGCTGTGCTACTGTCCTACAACTTTAGCATCTAACTCCTTGTATTCAGACGTCTTGCACAGTTTGTCTTTTGTTCCAGCTGCTGTCTCACTTTACGCCACTAACAATCCTGGGTCTGTTATGGTGTGTGTTACATATCAGCAGGACCGGATGGCCGACAACATGTCTGCACTGGGAGAACACCTCACAGATGAGGAGAAGGAGATCATCAATGGGGTGCTGGCTCGTGCCGCTAAGATGGAGGCCATGGAGCAGCAGAGGATTGAGTGAGATGGAAACTGTTATCCATGTTGTTTGGGCGATACGTTTGCGTCATTGTGCTGATGCAAGGTCTTTGGATGCTCTCTTAGGCGTCTGTCCAGTCGTCTGGACAACATAAAGAAGACGGCATGTGGGGATGGACAGTCGCATTGCCTGCTGTGTGGAGCATCCTTCGGAGCTCAGGGGGTCACAGCTGTTCTCTGTTCTCACTGCAAAAAGGTAAGCTGGATTATTTTAGCTACCACTTCACAAAGTACGTCTCATATCTTCAGATTCCTGTTCTGGAGCAGAAAAGTTCCTTTTCAACAAACATTAGCATTTAAACAAACATAATATTAAAGATTTAAGGTGAAACAATCGAACGAGAAGAGTCTGTATGTTTTCTTGAATAATTAGTGAGAGCTGACTGATCTAATCCTCTGAGGAACATCATTGCACACCTTAGTATAGATATAGAAGAGTTCCTACCTGAGAATGGATTAATGTTTTTTCTATGTAGCTGTGGCTGGATTATTTGGGCCCTTCAAAAGTCTTTTGCTGCTCTAACAGGTTTTTATTCCAGAATTCTCCTTTATTTAGTTGCATACTTCCATTTCCCAATGCTGACCTCCTTTATGCCTGTTAAAGATAACTCAACAGCATGGAGCTACCACCTCAATGTTTAATGGTGTGTTAAAAGGTGTTGTGGAGAATTTTCTTGATTTATTTAAAAGACCCACCCTCTCCATTTAAAGCTGCAGTCTGTTACATTGAGAAGAGTGCAGACTTCGACTGAAAATTTGAAGAAAAACAGGTTTCACGCCACTCCCCCACCCTCTCTGCTTCACTCATGCCCCACCTCCAAGCTCCACCCCTCTCACAGCATCTGCGCGGCTACTGCATGCGACCAGAAGCGTCCAAGCAGCGTACGTGGCAGCTCTTCCATTGACATCTTCTTTTTTGAAGTCTTTGCCGTGTAAGCTGTTGTCGGCAGGGGCAGTAAGGGCAGTTTCTCTTTCGCTGGTGGCTGTCGCTCCGCCATGACTTCCACGCGCGTCCTCCTGGCTGCAGCAGCCGGGCGGCAGCGGCAGGTTCAGCGGTGAGAGGGAGGGGGCGGGATTCAGCGTGTGTGAGCTGTGATTGACACTCCATCTGACGCTCCTCTGGCTGTGATTGGTTGTTTTGTCTCGTCCCGAAATATTCTTTCCAGATTGCAATACAGGCAGTAGGCCTGACCAATTGAAGCAGTTTTTTTCACAAGTTACATATCACATGTACTGCTGTCTGGGCATAGGGACAGTTTTAGCCAATATGACAAAAAAGTGATTTTTAAAAACTTGCAGACTTCAGCTTTAAAAAAAAAAAGCACGTGCGAGAGCCCATTGTTCCTCGTGCACACTCTGTTTAAAAGTAGCTGTTCTCATAGCTCATACAAGCTTACTGTGTCAGAACATCCGCCCTAACCCCTAAATCCCTCAATCACTATATAGAGCGGGGACTTTATAGTGAACTCTGTAGTTACCGTTCAGACAGATGATCACTGCTTTTTGCTCTGTTGGTCACCTAACTCCTCCTCCACCGCGTGGTGCCTGCGCCATCTTTGTTATTAGTCGCCGCTGTCGGATGGCAACAGCCTATGGTGACAGCGGGCCACTGTGACAGCAAATCCCATAATGCTTTGCGAGGAGAGCTCTCTGTGCAAAGCATTCCAGAATATATCTGCCTCTTCTGAGGCCTTTCTTTTCTTCTCAAACACTTCATAGACACTTTTTCTCTTACGACCCTCTGCCATTTTAAAGAAAGTGTGAGAAAGGTGTGCTTCAATGACTGAAATCGTGCTCACCATAGATATACGCCTGAAAGTGTGCATGAGTAGAATAAGATAGCTAATGGGAAGGGCATGTAGGACGGCCTTACGTAAACATATCTCCAGAATGATTGACAATCAGGAGGACCACTTATTTAGATGACGACCCGTAAATAAAAAATCGTCCTCTATACCTTTAAGTAAATTATAATCTTGTTTGACCAGTGCACCATCCCCCTAATTAGTGTCAACTTCTTCTCATTGAATTCTATAAATTTCATTAAATAACTGCTCAAATATGCATGGCTGAACTTTATAACTGTAGTCATTAAACTGCATTAAAATGTACTAAATGCGCCTGATGAAGTATGTTGCTCATTGATCAGCTGTTTATATGGGATGCAAGCTCCACTCCGCACTGGAGCAACAGGACGCTTCCCAGCAGCCTCTATGAGAAATCACTGTTGAGGTTTGAGCCTCGGTTTATTGAGGTAAGCAGTGAGAAATTAGAGCCCTGATTGGATAATATGCAGAAATATGTCACTTCCAGTGAGGCTCAGCCTCGTAGAGGCTCTGAGGAGCGGGATATCGTGAAGCTTCCTGCTTGATACTGATTGGCAGAACACACTATAGGATTTTTGACCCACAGTGGCCTGAGAGAATGGTTTTCTTCATGAGACTCAGATGAGAGATGAAAAAGTGATCATGCAGCCACAACTGTCAGCTTGTGCTGAAATCTTGCAGTGGTTTCTGGAGTTTGTCATTTCGGAGTGCTTTACAGCACCTATTTTCACCCGTTGTATTTATGTGTTTGATGTCTTACGTTACGGTTGGATTCAATTAACACCACTGAGCCCCACTGCTCCAGATGTTGGCTCGGTGTACTACATGGCTTACGGCTGACCTCAAACATATTTTCTTATGGTTTACTTTTAACAAAGACTTTCATCTTTCCACGGATTATTATGCTACGTTCACCCCACAAGCAGCACAGACAGCAGAAGCCGCTGGTTTAAAGGAAAAGTCAACGATTGATGTGCATCTTGGCGGAGAAAAAAGTCCTGCAGCGCTTTTTGAGAAGCAGGAGCTGTGCCTCCTGGGCAGCTGAAGCAGCGCATCATCAGCTTCTGAGCACCTGACACGCGCAACAGAAGCAGCAGCTGCTGGAGTCGGAAAAATTTTATTTATGCTGCTCGACGCGCCATATCAACCAATCAGAGAAGCTGATCTGGGAGCTGGCAGGGAGACAGACACAGCGCTGCTGATGCAGACCGCTATGATAACTCCTCTGAAACATTTTATTAACGCCTAAATTAACTTAAAATGTTGAAATCTGGCAGCAAAATCTGTTTGATTTTATTATTCTGTGCCTGCAGTTTGGATTACGTAAAAAAGCCTTCCAGCCGCTGTGAAACTAAGCAGAAAACTGCGAAGAGGTGAGCGGGCCAGAGGCTGCTGTTGAACAGGGTCCCTAGTCACAGAGCACCGCCATTGTACAGGGGTCTGAGCGGCTCCGACCGCGAAACAATATTTGAAGGCAGGATGGTAATCTGTATGAACTGAAGTTTTCAGGTTTACTTTCTTACTTAAAACATATTAAAACTACTTTTTACCTACTTATAACAGCAAATATAGCTGCTTCAGCCATGCATCAGAACTAATCTTGTACAAGCTTCAAAAATGAAGCAGCACACGTGTTTTTTTTTCTTGCCTGTGCTGCTTGCAGTGTGAACATAGCATTACACCTGAGCAGTCTTCATGTGTCTCCACCATTGATCAACTATCTGTCTGACTTTCTTCTCTGTACCAAAATCAGCGTAGGTTGACAGTCATGTCTCAGTAGATAATGACTTGAATAGAGCTCTGTGAGATGTTTCAATTTCTTTTCTATTACCTAACCCTGTTTTTTTACTTCCTCTTGTGTCTGCTGTGTTGCTAGTCCGTCATTATGCCATTGGTTCGCAGCTGTTCTCTAACAAACCGAACAAGAGATTATGTACAGCATAGACTATTTTCTACAGTAAATAGCTATGAATAATTGGCTGTCTGTTGTAGTGCAAAGAGAATGTCATACTTTACTGTAAATTTGTTTTATTTTACTCCCTCTTTTGTTCTTGCTCTTCCAAATTCTGCTGTACAATCTCTTCTACAGCGCTGTGCAGTCCTTTAAAGCTCTATTTATGGAACAAATCAGGCAGCTGTCCATGTACTAACTTGCTTTGATGCCTAATGCATATTTCCAGGTCCTTTGCGTGACATTCTGCCTCTTGTTGCTCTCAACTCAACTACACAGGTTAATGCCATATGAACTGTAAAAATATATGTGCTTTATGCACCTGTGATAAAGAGCACAATCTGTGTAGCTTCCCTGTGTGTAATAACGTGTGTGTGTATTTGACTTCTTGCAGCACATGTGCAGTAAATGTGGGATCTGGAGTAACAGCAGGACATGTCCAACGTGGCTTTGTCGGATCTGCAATGAGCAGCAAGAGGTGAGGAGAAGGAAAAGAGACCAACAGAGTGGCTTTTGGGACCAAGTGCTAATTTATGGCATTATGTCATCACTCTGCCACCAGAAGCTCAGCTTATCCTGTGAAATGAACCATTTTCTAGCTTTTACCCTCATCTTTTAGCACACAATAGTATTTCACTGCCCACTGGCCTGGAAAATTAGCTACCATTAATAGACCGGGTATCAAAAATAGGAAAGACGTAATGATACATTAATATCTATTCAATTTAAAAACCTATTGAGGATAATAGCATCCAGACAATAGTTGATTGACATGATCTCCTTTGTGCTTTCTTTCTAATTTTGTTACAGAATTCATTTTTGAATAACGTTTTGCTTTTAAGTTTCTTTGCCTTTAGGAGCCAAGAATAAAATGATGCTCTTTTCTTCTGTCAGTGGTGCAGACTAACTGCAGCACATAGAAAGCTGTCATGGGTGTCCTCTAGTATCAGGTCTGTAGATTGTGATGGTTGCATTTAGCGAATACAAAGTTTTTTTGTGAATTATGACGTACTGTGAACCTTTTTTTTTTTGTTTTAGAAATAGAGCATAACATATTATCTTATCATTTTCCCATACAAATTGTGACGTATATTCTGTAAAATTAAAACAAAAACAGAAAAAAAAAATTATAAAATCAATAAAACTAAAAAAGTCAGTAACCAGATGGCGACGTCTAAATCCCCAACCAATGTTTTCTTGAAGTACCTGCAGTGGGAAAAAAGTATTCACCTATTCACCCCAGTTAAATAAAGGAGATCCATGGATTTTACTTGATTTTCATATCTTTGCAAAGAGAGAACAGTTCATCATACGGCCCTTATGGCACAGTAATCTGCCCTGTTCTGCTCTACACAGAGTTTTTCTCCCTTACTTATAATGAGGAAAAAGCGGTGAAGGTTGTGTCAAAGTCAAAACAAATCACACACACTTTGTTTAAACAATAACAATTCGTGAGAAAGATTATGGAATAAGTATTCCTCGTATGCAAAACACTTATTACTCAGACATTTTGTGGCCTTGCAGGTGTAATAGATTGAGTAAAAACATTGTTCAGTGGATAAATAGCATAACTAAATATATGAAACAAGAGAAATCTAAATTTTCCGTCCACATACCTTTAGACCGCCTTTTAGCATTTAGTCTACTTTGAAAGGAGCCTGTCAGAATCTGTTGTGTCTGTTTCTCAAAAGTACTTTCAATCCTTCATATTGTGAGGAAATCTCTTGTCCACAGTCGTCTTCCACTGAAACCAACTTTTCCATCACATGTAGCTTTAGATTGGCGAGGCCATGGTATTGATAACTGTCTATGACTTCCCGTATGTTGAGTGAATGAACAGTTAACCCAGGACATGATGTCACATGTTCCCAGTTTGAGGAGTTTCAATGTTTCAATCGGTAATTTATAGTTGGAAGATCACCTCTTTGTTCTGTTAGAGATGAATACTGCTGTGGCTATTATTGGCAAACCTGTGGAGGAGCAATGACATAAAAAAACATGTTGATCTTGAACCTTAACAAAAACTGTTAGACTTGATTTTGACTGATTCCTCTCCAGAGTCCCACTTTGAAAGAACTGATGAAGCTGTAAGGTGTAGCCCGGCCCGGACTGGGAACCATTTTAGGCCCTGGCAATTTTTCATCTACACCGGCCCATTTATGGACCCCCGTCACCCAACCGCCCCTCACAAAAAATAAAATGGAGATAGAGTCAAACGTGTGCATCTCAAATCTATCTTCAAGCATCAAACGACAACCATCACCAAGACTTCTATAATGCAGTTTTACTGGCTTTGGTTATTAACATGGACGAGACAGTGACTGCAGCTGTGTAACGTCCACACCTGCACGAAGCCAGCCAGAACACCCACTCACACATACTAGGCTACAACGTAAGCTTGTGTGTTTTAAAAACACCAACATAAAACAATTTAATATAGAGGCATTTTAATTTAATCACAATCTAGTTTGTTGCAAGGATTTTACAGTTTGAAGAAATAGGGATTTTACATTTTGAGGAAATAGAAAATAACACCATATGCCAACCATCACAAGAATGTGCATGACAAGGAAGGGCTATATATACTGCATGCATCGATTAGGTAGTTAACATTGTATTACTTCTTGAGCTCCTGGAGTTATTTACTGTCACAGGTAGGAGCTTCGGCCGCAGAGGAACTGTTGGAGCCAGTATGATTTAAGGAGGGCCAGCCCTCGCACGCTGAAATTATGACCGGCCCACTGGGCAGATGCCCGGTATCACAGATTACTAGTCAGCACCAGTCTAAAGCTGGTCAGATATTGTCTCCATCGATCCATATTTTGTCCAGTTATTTTTTAACTACCCCACTGTGTATGAGAGACATACAGTAGTTGCCATTAAAAATGTCTCCCCTTTCCTTGATGGGCTCTTGGCTGGTCCTCTTAGGTTCCTTTTTAAACATCAATCTTTGTACTGAAATATTCTTTCTGTCATAATTTGTGGACATTAAGATCTAAAGAGAAGTATTGCCTCCTGGTCAGAGCCTGTAATTCAGTGAAAGGATGGAGTCAGAGTAAAAAAATGTGCACAACCAGGAGGAGGCCAGTGGCTGGAAGTTGGACCATTTTTGAATGGCTGCTACTGTAGATTCATCTCAATTTAAACGTTCATCTGTTTCATGTACTCACAATTAAAACAATAAATAGATTTATTAGACACAGACATTTTCAAGCCTTTCTCAATGTTTGGTGTTCAGGTCCCAAAAAAAAAAAACATTTATTTATGTAGATTAGAGTTGATAAACACACACTTGAGATTATAAAAGTGTATTCGTACAATAAAAAAAAGTTTAATACCTTAATATAGGTTTAATGAAAAGCTGCTATTGGAGGGTTTTAGCTAAAGAATGCAAGAAGGTAATTAATTTATTTTTATCAGGTTTGACAACCAATCACACCGTGACCTTAAGAAGAAGCTCTCCCTCAACTATTAGTTTATAGATCTTCACTCTTTTGGTTTGTTTAATGAACTTCTACTTATATTAAGCACATTATTTTATTTCCTTTGCCCTCTATTGTAACAAAGCTGAATACTACTAACATTATTAAACAACCATCTTAATCACCCTCCTTTATTCATTTTTGTTCTCAACCAGGTTTAATTCAAAAAGTTTAACAGAACTAATGTACAAGCACTTAATACCACTTTTTAATTTTCTTTTTAATGGTTTAGTATCAACATAAATACTAAAAATCTATTTTTACGCTCTAAAAAAACGTGAATAATCTTTAATGATTATATTATTTATTAAATATAATCTGGTTTAAATTTTCTTGTATTAGAACTGATTCATTAGGCAAATTGCCTATTGCTGTATTTTCACCACCAAATAGGAAGTTCTTTGCCAAAGAGACACATAACCTACTTTCAAAAATGGCGACTTCTAAAAATTACTATGCAAAGAAGAAATCAAAAAGGGACTTACTACATGCAGTACTTGAGTCGACCTGCAGAGGGCATAAAATACTGTAGTACAATTATAAAGGATTCCTAACAGCAGGAGTTTGAGGAAAGTACAAACTGTTAGGAATGAGATGTCTCTGGATTGTCTTTAACAGGAAATAAAAAAAAAGGAAAATGTATAAACAAATAAAGCTGTTATAATGTAGCGCGCTCCAGGGTCACCAGGTCATTTAATTCTGGATTAGGAGCTAATAAAATACAAAACTGAAAACGTAACTACTTATTATAATAATGAGAATACAAATACAACTGTTTATTCATTTTGGGTACTTACTCTTATTCTGATATATATATATTTATTTATTATCAGATCTTTTTGTATTGGTTTTTTTATTGTTGTTTTTTTCAGCATCCATTTTTGCTCCAAATTTGATATGAATCTACAAAGTCAGCTATCCAATATGCCGTTTTTGTTTTCCTTCTCCTTCCCACCTTCCTTTATCTTAATATAACATAACATCACCTTCTGTAATTTGTTTTGTAAATCCACATCTCTTCATAATAAAAAACACATGATTATCTTTAACACAAAGTTTACTTTTGGCCTTATAGAGCTATACAAAACCTTCTCTTCTATTTTACACTCCATACCAAGGGTGTAACTTTGTGATGAAATTTGGTGGGGACACTCTAAGGGTGGGGGCTGATGGACCTACAGTTACTCGACCCAAACGCTTTCATTAGGTTTTTATATTTTCCAAAAATGAGCTCAAACATATATTTACTAAACGCTTTTCTATTGTTGAGAACACAAGAGAACCATAATATAATTATACACTGAGATTTATATTTAATACACTGAGATTTATATTTATTGATAGTTAAATGCCTTTTAGTGCACATATATATATATATACACTATATTGCCAAAAGTATTTGCTCACCCATCCAAATTATTGGAATCAGGTGTTCCAATCACTTCCATGGCCACAGGTGTATAAATTCAAGCACCTAGGCATGCAGACTGTTTTTACAAACATTTGTGAAAGAATGGGTCGCTCTCAGGAGCTCAGTGAATTCCAGCGTGGAACTGTGATAGGATGCCACCTGTGCAACAAATCCAGTCGTGAAATTTCCTCGCTCCTAAATATTCCACAGTCAACTGTCAGCTGTATTATAAGAAAATGGAAGTGTTTGGGAACGACAGCAACTCAGCCACGAAGTGGTAGGCCACGTAAACTGACGGAGCGGGGTCAGCGGATGCTGACGCGCATAGTGCGAAGAGGTCGCCAACTTTCTGCAGAGTCAATCACTACAGACCTCCAAACTTCATGTGGCCTTCAGATTAGCTCAAGAACAGTGCGCAGAGAGCTTCATGGAATGGGTTTCCATGGTCGAGCAGCTGCATCCAAGCCATACATCACCAAGTGCAATGCAAAGCGTCGGATGCGGTGGTGTAAAGCACGCCGCCACTGGACTCTAGAGCAGTGGAGACGCGTTCTCTGGAGTGACGAATCGCGCTTCTCCATCTGGCAATCTGATGGACGGGTCTGGGTTTGGCGGTTGCCAGGAGAAGGGTACTTGTCTGACTGCATTGTGCCAAGTGTAAAGTTTGGTGGAGGGGGGATTATGGTGTGGGGTTGTTTTTCAGGAGCTGGGCTTGGCCCCTTAGTTCCAGTGAAAGGAACTCTGAATGCTTCAGCATACCAAGACATTTTGGACAATTCCATGCTCCCAACTTTGTGGGAACAGTTTGGAGCTGGCCCCTTCCTCTTCCAACATGACTGTGCACCAGTGCACAAAGCAAGGTCCATAAAGACATGGATGACAGAGTCTGGTGTGGATGAACTTGACTGGCCTGCACAGAGTCCTGACCTCAACCCGATAGAACACCTTTGGGATGAATTAGAGCGGAGACTGAGAGCCAGGCCTTCTCGTCCAACATCAGTGTGCGACCTCACAAATGCGCTTCTGGAAGAATGGTCAAAAATTCCCATAAACACACTCCTAAACCTTGTGGAAAGCCTTCCCAGAAGAGTTGAAGCTGTTCTAGCTGCAAAGGGTGGACCGACGTCATATTGAACCCTATGGATTAGGAACGGGATGTCACTTAAGCTCATATGTGAGTCAAGGCAGGTGAGCAAATACTTTTGGCAATATAGTGTATATATATATATATATATATGGTCGAGAAACATTAATGTAAAAATAATGAATAACAGCCGATTCCGATGCCTGAAATCGATATATCATGCATCCCTAGAATTTACAATTGCAATTCCATCCATCCATCTAGAAAAATATGGATATGCTGCATTTTAAATACAGCATAGCATATTTATTTTCTTGTAAACTTTCTGGTAAACTTGGAGATATATGTAAGCGCCTGAACTTACATGAGAATTTCTATCCTGTATCACTTAATACTACTAGTAGTAGGTTAAGAAGGGTAGAAGTTATTTGAAGTATGCGCCTGTGAGAGTGTGATAGGTTGATGTCTTTCCCCCCCCACAACTTAGAATAAACCACCAGTTTGGATAAACAATTATATTTTATTAGAGCTTCAAGCTCAGAAACTGGTAAATGGAAATGGAATAGTAAATTGCTTTTTTTTTACGAAACAATTGGACCATAAAATAAAAGTTGGCCTGGATTAATCAACAGAAAATTATATCACCAAATAGCCTTCAGAGGCACTTAAATGCAATCAGTTCCTTATGAACCCAAACTCTTATTTTGAATCGAAATTTAAAAAAAACCCTCAAAACTATCAAATATGTCCCGGGACCGTACTAACTGAAATGCTGGATCATTTAACAGTAACCTCATTTGAAAATGCAAACCGTGTTGAGACAACCCCAATTTACCCACATAAAGTAAACATCATCAGTGTTACCGCCAGTCTAGGCATACAAATACATCACAAACATACAGCAAAACAATATAGGCAATAACGTCACGGCGTCCCGAATGTCCACCAACACAACTGTAAGCACAGTTCCTTGGAATCGAATACCGGTTATCCGTTCGGTGAGACCCCGCCCCGCAGCTGCACAAAAGTTCTGTCCCCAAAGTGCAAAAGGCTCCTTAAAGCGATGCTGTCTTCGGTGAAGTCAGGTGGCAGGGTATACTCACAGTTCCATAGAAGAGAAGAAGGGAGAGGGTAGAGAAAGGAATGTTCGACCTGTTCGGATCGGAGCGAACCAACGTTCATGGACCCCAGCGCCGTCTTCTCGCTGCGGCTCGCCAGCTGTCACCACTCGCACGGTTCCAACACCCGAACTTTTCTTAAGACAAGTTTACTTGCAGGCATATATCTTCACTGCACCAAACTCCTCTGGCTGTGGGCGTCTGCAGCACAGTCGGAATTCCCCCTCTGGCGTCCACTGCCCGGTCGGAATTCCCCCTCCTTCCTTCTTCTGCTCTGCATCTCCACTCTCTCTCTACACCTGACGCTCTCCCTCCTTGGCCGAGCGTCACGTCACGTTACTCCCCACATATATTTTATTGCATTTTTCATATCCTAGTAAATCTGTTTCACCTTTAAATCTGCGACTGTCCCTATTTCTCTCTGTGCTCTGTTTAAAAAGATTTATGAACCTCTTTTTAACATAATGATGCCAGAAACAACATTTCAAGATATTTAGAAGCTTTGCAGTCTTTTTCTGTCTGTACAATAAGAAAATATGTTTATTTTAAGCTGTAACTGGCAGTAATGGTCCTCTGAGAATCCCAGCTTTTTTCAATAAGACATTTACACTGTTTTCTAAAACTTATTGCATTATATTTATTTCTTGTATAACTTATAATCTGTTGCTGAAAAAGCTCTGTATGTCTAACGAATTAGACATTTTGAGTGGCATTTCTGATTTTTTTTTAACCAACCCGTCTCCTAACTTTTACTTAAACATACATCAAAGTAGCTGCCATTTAATGCTGCTGTGTCTCTCTCCTCCAGCCACATACAGTAGCTACTCTCTACGCAGTGAAATGCGGCTGCAAATCAGATGTCTCACAGGGACAGATCCGATCATGTTAAACAGAGGCAGGATAGGGGGAGCAGCATGAGAGAGGAAAAAAACACATGGACTCAAAATGCTCTGAGCTCAGTTAGCTGCACCCAACCTCTGTTACCTTTGGCTAAAGTTAATGAGCGAAAGGGGAAGAAAGCGGAGATTGAGTCCTTACCAGACCAAAGTTGGTGGGGACATGTCCACACCAGTTCTTCTGAAAGTTCCATTTGTGCTCCATAAATAATTAATTTTTAATTTTTTCCCATATCTTTTTGACATAAGCCCTTCTTTCATTTCATTTTTCTAATTTGTGAAAGGAATCATCCAGGTTTATGTTCGGCTCATGCCAATGGACTTATTCCGTGTTGTTGCAGGTACAGAAACGCTCAGGGGCTTGGTTTTATAAGGGCAGAGATCAACCAGGGCTGCCCTCCCCACTGCCTCTCTCCAGCACTCTACAGTCCAACACAGACAACAGCACCGGACAAGGAGGCCACAGTCGGTCACAGGGACAAAGACAGCATCCTCAGACTGATGGTAACCAACACTAACTAATCCAATAATTCATTGTAGTGGGAAAAAATTATTCAACTACTCATCCTAGTTAAATAAACAGAGATCGATGGATTTCACTCAGTTGGCACATTTATTAATATCTTTGCAAAGAGAGAACAGTTCACCATACAGCCCTCATGGCACAGCATTCTGCTCTGTTCTGATCTGGGCAGGGTTCGTCCCTCCCTACTTACAACAATGGAAAGCAGAGTCATAACAAATTACACACACTTTGGTTAACAGTAACATGTTATGAATAAACCTTGTGAAAGAGCCTGATTTGTTATAGGAAGAAGCTATGTCTGGTCTACAAACACCAGCCTGGAGAGAAATGTGTGGCCTTGAGAGAGAAACAGACTGAGTGAAAACTTTTATAGTGAGTAAACAGGATAAATTAATATATACGGTAATAGAAGAAAGATAAAAATTTTCCGACAACATTCATCACATGCGGTTTGGTTTAAGATAAACGATTTTAACCACAAAACAAGAGGCTTATTGGTGTAACAGTCGGTCTTCATTGGTCCTGTGCTGTAAGGTTTAAAGATAGACGTGTTTGAGAAAGATGTGCTAAGCTTACTTGATCACTTTTTCCAAATTAGTGGAAGCTTTCGGTAAAGGCCATATTGCACACTACTTTTTAAGGTGCATTGTGGGAAATTTTGCATTCACTACTTTTTCATCCACTAGATGGCTGAATCCCAAACCAGCCCCTAAACACTAAAGCCTGGTTTATGCTCAGAAACCAGGTGTTCTGCGTGTGTGTCGCAGTTAACGCAGATATACCACCCACCACTTCCACAGACACTCTGGTGCACCTCCCCAAAATTGTAGGTGACCGCAATTTTGTCAAACTGACACACAGACTCCTGGGAGCAGACACACTCCTACAGCAGTGTGTCACAGTTAGCTTGTTCTTGGTATTATGCAGGTATTTTTGATTTATGCCCAATTTTGAAGCATGGTCTGCGCTATGTTATTCCACGCCACAACGCAAGAGGGACAATTATAAACTACCTGGGATTGTGTCTGCGAATCGGTTTGTGGAGCTTGTTTGCCGTCTACAACCAGTCATCTAACGCCAGATGATACACAGTTTACCCGTGAGTGTTCCCGAAAGACTAGCCGTGGTGCTGCGTGTTTTGGCTTTGGCTGTAAACAACAGACCGTCGAACAGAGCTACAAACTAGCAACCTGTACATTGTCTGGGATAGTATCCGAGGTGTGCCAGGCGATGTGGACAGCGCTACAGCCAGAGTTTCTGCCATTAAGTACCAAACAGGAAATACTCATAGTGAAGAGCAGATGTAGAATTGGCCAATCGGAGTCCTTCTTTCTCTCCTCCCTGCGACGCTATCTGAGGCACTGTCTGTGGTCACCTACAATTTTGTTGAGGTGCACCAGAGTGTCTACCTAAGTTTGGGGGGGGGCATATCTGCGTTAACTGCGTCACACACACAGACGACCTGGTTTCTGAGCATTAACCAGGTTTAACCCTAAGCACTAACCTCTCTCCTGCAGAGGGTCAGCCACATTAGGGGCCATCTCAAACCATGTAATGGGCGAGTGTACCGTTCTGCCCAAAAAAGCAAGTCTGCATCGGAGCAGGCTCGCTGGAATTTGGCTGTGGGTGTAACGGTGAACTAGTGGTGGAAGAAACACATGCATTGAAATGTAGGTTCAGCTGGTTTGCTGCATCTTCGTCAAACTGACAGAAAATCACCTGTTAGGAAAAAAAAAAATGACTTCATTAATCCCTTAATGGAAGATCGTATTTGAAATAGTTTGATTTGACTTGAGTTATTTTTAAGAAAATGGCAAATCTTTGATCTTATGTTAACCTGCACCACAGGGCTACACCAACACACATGCATTGTTAAAGTGTTGCCATAGAAACAACTGCTTTCCCTTTCTGTTGGAGGGAAGATGCCGTCCCATTAATTTTTATACCCTCCACCTTTAACCAAGGCGCTTTTCACAGCTTTAAGTATGGCTTTATTGCGAGTGACACTTAATGGTTAAGGGTTAGTGGTTAGGGGGATTTAGCCTACATTCGGACACTCATATAGAATGCTGTAACCACTATATAGTGCCTTTTACTGGCGTTAGGGAGGATGTTCAGACACAGTCTCTGTTTTTTATAATATAGTCCATGAAACATGCCAAGCCATCAAGAAACCTTCCACTGAACAATATCTGCTGGTTTTGCCTTAAAAATCTGCTGATATAATGTTTGCTCTGTAGTACGTTCTTAATTTTAATTCCAACATTGCTTCGCTGTGGTCGCCAACTTGTAATATTAGCAGAAAAGCACTGGTGCATTTTGGGTAATTCTGGTGCTGAGAGACACGCATCATAATGTTCCGCCTCCCGCGCTGCAATTAGTCCAGTTAGATTTGGCTCGATGTCTGTATAATTCAGTCTGGCTGGCCAGGCTGACCTGAAGACAGAACATGGAGGAAATTAAGATTCACTGCAAAAAAATATGCATTTACCCTTTATTGCTGGAAAATAAACCAATTTACTAATGGAATGAAATAATTTTAATTCAAAACAAGAAAAAGAAACTCCATTATCTTATTTCAAATGCATAACATCTAATTATTGTCAGTTTTTGCAGTCTATGAATAGTTATTTCATAGTTGGGTTGGGGTTTTTGAAGACCCAAATGCAGAGATCAGGAGGCAGAGGTGAGTCATGCAGATTTAATAAGGCAACTGAGGCAAAAATCCAAAGTAAAAAAACACAACCAACCAAATTACCAGAAAACATCAGAGGAAAACTCACATGGGGAGACAGCGATGAGGAAGCAGCAAAACAAAAACAAGGAACCAGCACTGAGTGACTGCAGAGGTGGTGTATATAAAGGGAACAAAGCAAATGATGGGTTAATGAGCTGAATATCGAGCAGGTGTGAGTGGAACTAGAAGGAAGCCAAGGGGAAAGGAAGCAAGCACAATGGGGCAACAGAGAGTAACTAAAGATTGCTTAAATATAATGGAAAATAAACCAAAGATCAACAAAACAAAATAAGTGAAAAGTCAGAGTCCCAAAAAGGAAAACTTGTATAAACCACCACTTCAGTGACACCAATAAACATACTTTTTTGGAAAGCGTGAGCAGAATACAGGATTTAGCTTTCCATTGTGGGCCACCATAAAACACATAAAGGTGTTTTATGAATCTCTTGGTCATATTTTACATTCTGTCATTGTGGGTGGACGCTATGACTTTTGTGAATCTGTGGCAGCGGCTTTATCGATGATCATGTGGGGGCACTGATAATCTTATTTTGTCTCCTCAGAGCGACAGCAGAAGCAGTCCTCTGCATCAGAACAATGGGAGCAGACGGCAAGAACAACAACTGACAGCTGCAATGAGGCTCATTCTGCTCAGGCAGCTGTAATGAAGACAGAGCGACATGTGTTAGCTTCCAAACCCCCCCAGGCGAACATGCAGCAGACAGCCCCCTCCTCAGGTGAATTCACACCGTTCCCTCTAAGAATAAGCTCAACACTGCAGGGGCTCCAAACACTGAACAGCACTTTCTAAGAAAAGTTGCCTCAGACGGTGTCACCAGCTCACTGTGTTTGATTATGTCTCTAATTCCAGCAGTAAATGTGGAGAACAATCATGCTGAGAAAGTAAGGACAATGTCCTCTCCAGCTGTGGAGGAACCACGACAACCTGTTGTCTCCGGCCCAGCTTCATCTTTCACACCTGCAACCCGAATTATGCCACCAGTGAATCCACCTTCCAACAATACGGCTCCTCAGAAATCCCCTTCAGATCACACAGAGGAAAACGACAATGACTATGACTCAGATGACGCAAGTAGGCCTGATTCAACCTGTTCATTGTGATTATTAATATGCTTAATATTTAAATGTGCATAGATACCTTACATACACTATTGGATCATGAGTAAAATAACATTATTGTCACTTTGGGGTGGAGGTTTGACAGGACCCAAATGTAGGCACTGAAGCTGAAATGGTTTCTTGAAGATTTAATAACAAAAAGGGTAACAGAAGCAATAACAAAAATTTACAAAATCCACAAAAACTGAGAACCAGGCCTAGGGATACTCACATAAAGGGGGCAAAGCAATGAGGATAAACCAACAACAGTGACTGAACAGGAGGTGCATATATGGGAGAGAGAAACAAAGACCAGGCTAATCAGCAGATTGGGAGCAGGTGTGAACAGAGGAGTCTAGAAGGGAGCTAGGAGAGGGAGACCAACACGAGATGGGCATTAGTGAAGCAAAAAATACCTTAGAACTCAAATACATCCAGAAAACTCGACTAAAATAGGAATTAAACCAATAAAAGTAGAAAAAAAGAAAAACATGGATCAAAGTGAAACTGAAAACTAAAAAAACTTAAACAGAACCGTGACAGTTATATACAACAAGTTCCAGGGTTGTGCATGAACGTGTTTAATGAATACGTTCATATTTTTAGTGAACAGTGAACTTATCGGATCAGTTTGATCAGTGATCCGATAAGTTTATTATGGAATCAGTAGTGAACGTGAACAAGAACGACGTTCACTCTGAGAATAATGAGCGTCACACACAGATCACGTTCAATTGATAACGACACTTTTCATTAGATAACGTCAGGTTTTATTACAGCAAACAGCATGACAGACCAGCATGTCTACTAGTCTGTGTGATTCAGACTCATCTGCTGGTATTTCTGATGCCAGTTTTGCAGATCGCTTGGCAACGTTTTATAAAAGAAGACTGAAAACTGGCACAGTATTGCCAAACTCCCTTCCTGATATGCTTCCACACAGAGAAATACTAGCTTATATATATATATATATATATATATATATATATATATATATATATATATATATATATATATATATATATATATATATATATATATATATATATATATATATAAATATATATTTCAATTTGCAAATATTTATGTGCAAATGTGTTCTTTTCCTTACAGCCACACTGGGATCTCTTGAGTTCAGCCTCCTATATGAACAGGAGAATCATGCTCTACACTGCTGTATCATTAAAGCTAAGGTAAGATAAAACCTACTGGTGCAGGAGAAAATCGGTGACAAAATCATAAACACCTAAAGAATACAGTGTACAGTGATCCAAAAGGTCCACAGGTCAGAGGTAAAATGAATCATCAAAATCAATCAAAAACTTTTTCCCTCTTAAATTTGACATATGTCAGCTTTAACTTCAAGTATCACTAATGCTTCGTTCACAACCGCCGTTTATTTGAGCAGCAAAGTTTATGGTCGATGAGCATTATGGCACATCTAAAGGTCCTGCAGCGCATCTTGATGCATCTGAGCAGCTGAAGCAGCGCCTGATGAGCTTCGGAGCATCTGAGGCGGGGGACGCACTTCACAAGCAGCAGCTACTAGAGTCGGAAAAATTGAACTTTTGCTGCTCGACGCGCCACATCAACTAATCAGAGAAGCTGCTCTGGGAGCTGTGAGGGAGAGAGACACAGCAATGCTGATGCAGAGCACTATGATCACTCCTCTGAAAACAGTTTAACACCTAAATTAACTTCAAATGTCGAAAGCTGCCAGCAAAATATGTTTGATTTTATTATCCTGGTTCCTGCTGTTTGGACCACATACCTGAAAAACACTAAAATCTACTTCCAGCCGAACGTAGAGGAAAACCCTGAAGAGGTCACCCAACCTGAGGTAGCTGCTGCTGGGGATTCCCAGTGACTGAGCGGCTCCGACAGCGAAATATCTTTAGGCAGGATCGTAATCTTGATTACCTGACTGCACAAACAGTGTTTTGAGGTGGACTTTCTTGCTTAAAAATATATTAAAACTACTTTTTACCAGATTATCACAGCGAATATAGCAAAGCCGCTCTCTGCCATTGAACAAAGGAGCTGTAGAAGCATCAGATGCATCTGTACCGTTTTACTGGACATGCCTCATGAGTATCAAAGATGCACTTCATGCGCCTCTGACCTTAATGTGTACAAGCACCAAAAATGAATCAGCAGATGCTTTTTTGCTGCTGTAATCACATTTGGTGAGAACGTAGCATAAGAGATTTTTAAGTGACACGTCCTCTACTGTACATGACCTTTTAAAAATCACAGTGTTGTAAACATTGACTACCCTCCAAAGCAACTGGAAGACACATATCCTGATGAAGTGTTTGAGGGTGGGTAGTATAGTGCAGCATCTGATGTAATGTAAACTAGTGTATAGCAACCTTTTTGCTGCAATTAGTTACTTTTATACATGTCAGTTAATGTCAGTCAGCCTCTCATGAGGTAATTCATTCTATACATGTCTTATAGTGAAACACTAAAAACCAGTTACTCTAAGTCAAAACAGTTACACTAAGAGATCAGCAGGTGTGGTTCTTCCAAGACCAATAACAAGTCTGAATTGTCATGATGTTTTAAGAGATCTCACCCACATGCAGTAAACCACTCAGAGAACCAGAGTAAAAGTTTAACAGGTTTATTGCAATAATCAATAAGGCTGATCCAGGGTAACTCAGACAGTTGGTGAACCAGAACTGGAACTGAAAAGGAAAGTTCAGAGGTTAGTTTAGGGTCCATGGGAACTTTGAACAACATCTTGCAATAATCAGAGATGAACGGGACTCACGTTAGCAGAAAAGGGTTCTCTTCCCAGAATCCAGTCGGTGTGGGATTATCCAGAGATTGGGGGGCACATTGGAGGTTTGGTTGGTTCCTTGAGGAGCAATGGAGCAGACTGCCACTTAGATTTCCAGGAGAACTTGAACGGGTCATGTGGAGATTAATCCCCTGCTCAGTGTGAAGCTCAAAACAATCCTTCCAGGGGGAGAAGGCCAAAAAAATCCAGTTTGCAGGATGACTTCCTGCTGAGGAGGCAAAGACAAAAAAAAGGTTAGACTCAGAGAGACAAAGACTCAGTTTGACTCAGCTAAACTCAGCTTGGCTAGAGTACCCAAAACTAGCAAACACTCTGGCGACGAGGTAGTGGCAGTCCACCGCTTAAAGCTGAAGTCTGTAAGTTTTTAAAAATCACTTTTTTGTCATATTGGCTAAAACTGTCCCTATGCCCAGACAGCAGTACATGTGATATGTAACCTGTGAAAAAAACTGCTTCAATTGGTCCCGCCTACTGCCTGTATTGCAATCTGGAAAGAATATTTCGGGACGAGACAAAACAACCAATCACAGCCAGAGGAGCGTCTGATGGAGTGTCAATCACAGCTCACACACGCTGAATCCCATCCCCTCCCTCTCACCGCTGAACCTGCCGCTGCCGCCCAGCTTCTGCAGCCAGGAGGACGCGCGTGGAAGTCATGGCGGAGCGACAGCCACCAGCGAAAGAGAAACTGCCCTTACTGCCCCTGCCGACAACTGCTTACACGGCAAAGACTTCAAAAAAGTAGATGTCAATGGAAGAGCTGCTGCGTACGCTGCTTGGACGCTTCTGGCGAAACATCGCCAAACTCCGCCCCTCCCTTTCCCAACCCGACGCAGAAAAGCTAATCCATGCCTTTGTCTCCTCCAGATTGGACTACTGTAATGCCCTCCTTGTCGGGGTCCCTGGCAAAAGTCTACAAAAGCTGCAGCACATCCAGAACTGTGCTGCCCGGGTCCTGACGAGGAGGCGCAAACACGAACACATCACTCCAGTCCTCAGATCCCTTCATTGGCTGCCCATCCAACACAGAATACATTACAAACTTTGCCTCCTCACTCACCAGTGCATACATGGAACTGCCCCGGCTTACCTCAAGGAACTCCTCACACCTCACACCGCCTCCAGAACCCTCCGCTCCACCACCTCCACCCACCGACTGCACCAGCCAAGAGTCAAGCTCTGCACAATGGGAGATAGGGCCTTCCAGGCAGTTGCCCCACAACTCTGGAATGGCCTCCCAGAGTCCCTTAGGGTCCCACAGAGTGTGGAGGCGTTCAAGAAAGGCCTCAAGACATTTTTATTTAAAAAAGCCTATGAACATTAGTTAGTATTTTATCTGTGTGGTTTTATGGTTATTTTACTGTTTTGTTTTTACTACGTATGTTATTTTACTGTAATGTCTCATTTTAACTATGTATACAGTTTTTATTATACGGTTTTGTTTTAACTATTAATTTTGTAGCACTTTGAGATTTTTTTTTTAAATGTAAAGTGCAATACAAATAAAATGTATTATTATTATTATTATTATGGTCGTATGCGGTAGCCGCGCAGATGCTGTGAGAGGGGTGGAGCTTGGAGGTGGGGCATGAGTGAAGCAGAGAGAGTGGGGGAGTGGCGTGAAACCTGTTTTTCTTCAAATTTTCAGTCGAAGTCTGCTCTCTTCTCAATGTAACAGGCTGCAGCTTTAAGAGTCCGCAGTAATGAGCACAACCAGCCCGCAGGTGTGTGGGAGGACCAACGAGAACAAGGCACCACCTGGTGGTGGAGGGAGAAAACACAAAAACAAACAAAGCCCACACACACTGGATTCCTAACATGAATCAGTTTTTGTTTAGGTCTCCCCATTAATCACACACCTTGCCAAAAAATCCCTCTGTTTTATATGGAGTGATTTTTGTTCTATTATGGCTGCAAACAAATAGAAACGTTTATGAACTGAAATTTGGAAAAAGGTTTTCCTTAAAAAAGGTCTTTAGAGGAACTTTGAGTGGCACTGAACCTGATTAACAGTCTGAGAGAAATCAATTTGTAAAAATGGTTCCAAATGTATGGAGACTGCTTGTGGGGTCCCCCAAGAATCAGGATTAGGGCCTAGATTATTCAATATATGCATAAATTGCATATTTTAAGTCTGTAAATGTTCAAAATCTGCTGATGACACTGTTATATTCTTGCAATGAAGTAATTACTACTATAAATCAGGAATGAAGTAAATTAAAACAAAATGGATTAATAGAAATATGTTATCGCTATTTGTAGAGCAAACTAAGTTTAATATAATTCAAAAATAATTCAACATATCAAAACTAGATTAAATATTGCAGGTTTTCAATGAAATGTTATATATAAAGTAGTATATGCTGTAGGCAGGATGGATCTTCTATAGTGTTCTGTCTTACAACCAAGCAGAGCTACTCCAAAATACTGAACAGCTACCTTAAGCAATTCAATTCTAAAATTTCATAAAATAGATAAATGTCTGTGTATATGTGCTATATATTTCTGTTTCTGTTTACTAATTTTATATTGTCATTTTTTTTCAGATTGGTCTTAATATATTGGATTGTTTTTAAATTGCATTTCTCTTTTTCTGTTACTTTCCTCTTTAGAAAGTTTATATATATATATATATATAAACTGTATATATATATATATATATATATATATATATATATATATATATATAAACTGTATATATATATATATATATATATACAGTTTATATATATATATATATAAACTGTATATATATATATATATACAGTTTATATATATATATATATATATAAACTGTATATATATATATATATAAACTGTATATATATAAACTGTATATATATATATATATATATATATATATATATATATATATATATATATATATATATATACATACATACATACATACATACATACATACATACATACATACATACATATATATATATATATATTTATTTATTTATTTTTTTTTTTTTTGCTGCCCTCATAAACCTCCAAAATCAAGAGCTGTCCCTGAATTATCTGTGAGTAGCACAGCAGGGGCCTTGTATGTTATTGGTCTTACATTAAGTCTGTCTGTCTTACCATGAGAACTAGTAGAGTACTGAAAAATAACTTGCAGTTGTGTTTTTCAGCCAGATACAGTAGAAAGAGCTCTCTATCATCTCATAAACACTTTGATTACACCACAAGGACTTAGAAGATGATATTTCAAGCTAGAGACTATTTATGGTTGACTGAACAAAGGGATGACTTACGAGCTGATTGGGAGCAGGTGTGAACAGAGGCTGCCAGGAAAAGAACTAAGGAAAAGGAAACCAAAACAAGAGGGCAGCAGAGGGCAACAAAGAAAAGCCTAAGAACTCAAATACACCCAAAAACACAACTAAATAGGAATTAAACTAATAAAACTAGAAAACAAAGATAAACATGAATCAACATGAACCTAAAAACTCAAAGAAATCTTAACAGAACTAAGAACATAACACTAGGTATCCTTGACACTTCCTTATTGTCATTGTTCAGCTAATGCCATAGTTTGCAGAGAGACGTACGAAGGATCAACGTGATCTCAGGTTATTACTGATGGCGTTTTACATGTGACAACAGTCTGAACCAACTGAAACAAACAGTAGTTGACCAAAATAAGAGTTTAAGGGTGTGCACGCTAACGCAATCAGGATATTCCTTTTGTTTCCTAATTTGTATTTTTATCAAAAGCTTTGTTTGTTTTTTTCTGTTGTGTTGTGTGAAGTTGTGGAGAAACTGATGAGGCATTTCTTGAAAGAAAAAGTTTCAAATTTATTTTACGTCGGATAGATAGAGCTCTGACTGGGGCAAGACCAGCACACACATTTATACTGTACAAATCTCAAAACACACTCTGCCTTGGGACCATGCTTCCCCTGCATAAAGAACTTTCTCACACACGAACATTTGGAGGAAAACAACTTCAGTTCATCAAGGACATTCCCTGTTAGGTTAATACATCTTTCACTGGCCAGATAAACATCTCACAACAGCTGTCTTCTGTTTGCGGTATGAGGGAGCCTTAATCACCTTAGAGGGAAGGTTATCTATATTTCACCCTTGTCTAGAGTATAGAGGCAACTGCTTTCTGCACCCCCTACCTTAAACATTACAGCATAGAGGCTGGTAAAATATTTCTCTAAACTCACTCCTATTAGGCCAAGAAAAGGCACAATCTAAATATTTCAACTCACATATAGACTGAGGAAAAATGTGCTTTCACAGTTGTACAGTAAATACATTTCCCTCCAAATGTATTAAAGGTTTTTAAACTATTTATCATGATCTAACTTTGTATATTTACTACTGGCTGGTATTTTAGCACGGCTGAGTAGACTCAGTAACAACATTGGGTTAAACAAGATGAGAAGGCCAACAATGAAAAAGTAGAGCAGAATAAGTCAGGGCAGGGCAGCAATACAATACAGAGCATGGCCAAATCAATAAACATGTTAAAATGAGACAAGATCTAACAGGACGGGGCAAGACAAATAAAACTTAATTCAATCAGACACAACAAGGCCAGATGGTTCAACATAAGCAGATAAAAGACAAATGTAAAAGAATTAATGAGACAAGACACAACAGACAAAAGAAGCAGATGTAAACGACGAGATAAAACAGCCGAAGATGGGAGGATGTAACCAGACAGGGAAGCACTATAAGATCATACTGCATGAGTTTAATAAAAGGAAACAAAGCTAGAAGAAAAGTGCAACAGAAAAAGGAAAGGAGAGCATCAGATCAAATGTAAAGTGACATGGCAAAAAGAGCAATAACAGATCGACATGAAACACACCAAAGATCTGAGAAAATCAAATCCAGTGAAGTCATTGTGCCTGCATGAAAAAAATCCTCAAAGGAAGTATTAAACTACACACACACATCTGCATTCATGGTTATATTTGCCTCTTGGTGTGCTGCTGTTTTTGAGGGGAGCTCAGGCCAGGTTATTCTGTCAGGTCGCTCAAAGCGGCAGGGATAGATAAAAATGTAAAAACTCTCTGTGGCTGAGCTGCATTGCTCTCTATTGACTTTGCAGGGCTAAGGGCTCAAAATATGTAGTGCTAATGTTCCCTTGCTCTGAGATGGGGGATACAGATTATAGATTAACTAATTAATCTGAAGTTAAGTTATCTTCTCAACTACCTTAATTGACACATTAATTGACAGGTGGCCATTTCCTTAAAAGCCTGAGCTTTCTCTTTTATCAAAAGGAGTCTTTCAACAATATTATTTTTTAACAATATGCTGAATTAAAATTTTCTGAATGTGGCACAAGAGTTAGCGGCAAAAATCCCAGACAATGTGTGAAATTACTGAGAATAAATTTCACTCTATCCTCTTCTCAGCAGTAGATGACTTGGAGATTAATCAGTTATTAAGTGTAATAACAAATTCTCCACTAACTGTGTTGGTGTTGATATTACGTCGGTGAACAGAATTACCGAGGTATTTCAAAACTAATAACATATATTTGCAATATACCATTTCAAACTAGCACATTTCCACTGAAAATAAAAAGAGCTAAAGTAATGGCATGTGTACGAACTAAAGGCCTGTGTCACTCACTCCAAAATTTTCGAAAAAAACTCTTTAACAAAAGACTAGAAGACCTGAATCAAAATGAAATATTAAACAGTCAGTATGGATTCAGAGCAAACAAAGGAAATAACAAACACCTGATCAAGGAAAATATGAAGCTGATGTGTTTATAGATTTTTAAAAAAGCATTAGAGACAATAAACCACTCAATACTCATTAACAAGCTGCCGCAGTACATCAATAGGGGAGTGGCACTGGACCTGATTAACAGTCTGACAGAAAACAGTATGTAAAAAATGGGTTGAAAATGTATGGAGATTGCTTGTGGGGTTCCCCAGGGATCAGTATTGGCCCCCAGATTATTCAATATATACATAAATTATATATTTCAAGTCTCAAAATGATCAAAATTGATCCAATTTGCTGATGACACTTTTATATTCTGGAAACGATTAAAATGAAGTAATTACTACTGTAAAATATAAAATATGTATATTTTTAAAAATGTTTGAACTGAAATAAATTGTCACTAATTGTAGAGAAAACTAAGTTAATGATATTTGGTAGCTGGAAAAATATACTTGATAATAATAATCAAGTAATTGAAAATATAAAGGCAATTAAAGAACTGGGGGTGATGCTGTTAGATTAAAACTCTCTTTACATTGTGTTTCTCATTAGTTCTGCTGTATCTTACAGAGTGTATAGAGATTTTCGGAAACAGTTACAAAAATACCTTAAGCTCATCAGTCTTGCAGAACAGGGTGGTCTGTGCCATACACAAAGCTGGGTATCTGAATCACACAAATTCAATGTTTTTAATAGTCGAGATTACTTTAACTACAGGACCTGGTTCATTATCACAGATCATGTGTGAAGCTAGTCTAGAATTACTACCGCTCAATATCCACAATCCTTTCAGCCATAAAAATGGAGGCTGTCATTTATGAGGGGCCACAAAAAGGAGAATTCCCTCAGTGAAAACCACTAGGAAGAGTTTTTGTGTGTCTGTATGGACAGTTAAACTGTAGAACAGCCTGGAGGATGAACACAAGCACTTTCCCAATATATCATAATTCAAAAATATGATAGTGCACGTGTACCATGGCTGTCATTGTTGTCAGCTTTCTACTTTTTACTATTATTAGTACAACATAGTCTGATTAAGATCAATTCACTAATACTTTATTAATCCCAAAAGGAAATTAAGTTTCTGTGCAGCCTGTCCAAGACGGAAAATACATTAAGACAAAACACAGACATCATACATGGAGGGGGGGGGGGGCATGGTGTCCAAGGCCTCGCTGCCATGAAAGGCACTGTCCTTATCACTGTCAGTGTTTATTGCTATGGATATTGTTGATAGATAATTGTACGGTAGATTATATACTGATAATTATATATAGAGTGTTTCTTTAGTTTTGTGCACCAAAAGAGAAGGGATTAAATTAGCATAGTTTTCTTCCTACTCCTATTTTTTCCCTTTGTTTCTACATTGTTTTGTTTTTAACTATTATCTTATGTTCAAATAAAGCTTACCTTCTCATTTCAAGAACAAATGCCCTTATTTTTAGAAAAAAAAAATTAATATTTAGATTTCCAGTTTTTTCCTGTGTGAACAGCGGGATCACAACACTGCAATTCCCTTTAAGTGGATTTTTAAATAAATCAATGGATTTTTTTTTTTTTATCAAAGTAACCCTACTGTAACTGACAGTTAATTGTAAATCAACTATTTGCTCACCTCCCAAGGTGGTACTTTGTGTCTGGTGACCGGGGATGTTTGTAATCTTCCTGAGCTCTGTCCATCTCACCTTTGCTCTTCTTGGATGCATAGCGCTACAGGCTTTTCCTGCTCTCACCTCCCTAAAAACTCTCTAAAATAAAATGCTAGTAGATATCCACTCAATAGACATCGCTTCTACACACACTTTAAACACAAAATGAAAAAACAAAACAGGGAAGGTCATAGGAATTGTGGGCAAGAGCAGAATAAAGTTCAGAGCAATAAAAGATAAAGGGCCAGGCTAAGTGCAAAAAACAACAACATTTGTAATAATAAAGGGGGAATGTCAGACAGTAATGCAGACTAGTAAAACATAATAAGATGAAATAAAGTTGTGTACTGGAGAAGAAGAAAGCTCTGACTATACTGGAAAAGGCAAAGTTATATTATGAAGGAAAATGGTCTGAGATGATCTAAGCTCTACTTTTGCTTTCAGGGTTTAAAACCAATGGATTCTAATGGACTCGCAGATCCATATGTTAAGCTACATTTGCTACCTGGAGCCAGTAAGGTATTTATGTGTTCTTTTAAAATATTCCATCAAATTTAGAAGTTAGACATTTATTTTACTGACCTTTTGGTTTTATAATCTGTCCTTAGATTTAGCGCTTTTTTTCAGCGATTGTGTTTTCTTTTCTGTTCTAAGTCCAACAAGCTTCGTACCAAGACTCTTAAAAACACCCTGAATCCTGTTTGGAACGAGACACTGATCTACCACGGCATCACAGATGAGGAAATGCAACGCAAAACACTCAGGTACCATCAATCGACCTTTCTAACTGAGGAATCCACTTTGAATTCAAATGATTTTTAGACCTTATCATCATCATTGTCCACCCAGGCTTTCAGTGAGCGATGAGGACAAGTTTGGACACAATGAATTCATCGGAGAGACACGGGTTGCCCTAAAGAAACTGAAGTTCGACCAAAAGAAGAGTTTTAACGTTTGTTTGGAGAGAGTGATCCCGGTAAGCCTGAGGGTAACAGTATGTTAAAAGTTAGACCAACATCTCACCCAAATTACTGTAAAAATATAACTACAAACCCCATTCTTCTAAATCCCTCCTCTGTCCAAATCACTTTGTTTTTATGATATATTCATGATAAAACATGATAATAATCATGTTTGATCGTCTAATTACATTTATATTGGTAGATAATGTAAGTAAAGCTCCAAAACAGGCTTAAATAGGAGTCAATAGGAGTTTCAGCACCTATTCAGGAGTCGTGTCAGTTCTGTCGCCTTGCTGTTGGTGGGGTTCAGTTAGAGGTTTTGATGACGTGAGTTTAGATGAAGAGCAGGGAGTAAAGTTGTCAATGGAGGCAAAGCTTGCAGAAAGCTACCATAGGGATTTAAATCCAGTTTTAAGATAGATATACAATATGTTAGATGCGACATGTTTCTGAGAGAAATTATTACGTTTTTGACAGAACCTTTGGATTTTCATAGCTGCTGTTCTTTCTTCTTTCCATGTGCTTTGTGGCGTCATGTGAAAGCGAACTGCAGAGCAACCTGTAGTTGATGTTAAGCACCCAGAGGCCCATCATTCCAAGTCAGATGCAAATCTGATTCCTTCCACCCTTCTTCAAACCATCTGTGGCCTCTGTCCAAAATCTTAGCAGTGAGATCCAAGTGTACAGTTGAATGTTGCCCAGAGCTGCTGGCCCTTCTGAGCTGAGCAACATGTTTGTGTAAATGCTGTTAGGTTTCTCTGGTGTTGGAGTTAAAGTAGGCCACGCTGGACTGAATAAGCAATGGCTCCCAATCGCTCTTTTCTCTTCAGGATAAACCAGGTTTATTCTGATATTGTCGTCGGGTACATTGTTTTGGCAATTCTGCTTTATCTATTAAAGCAGTTCTAAAGAGCTTTCTTTTTTGCTTGATTTTGGCTCCCCCCAGTGGACCAAAACCTGTATTGTTTTGCCTGAAGGAAGACAGCATTTCCCATGAGGTGCATCGTATAGCGTGGTAAAATCCGGATCTTCTGGTCGCCTGCAGTTGGACTGAACTACATTTCTGTTTCAAGTGGCTATGTGAAAAATTTATAGCGATGAGCTCATGAATCTAGTTGTGGTGAAACAACGTCATATGATGATGTTGAAAATAAGAAGCGTTTAACTTGGTATTGTTAGACACACACCCACACACACTTCACCTGACTCATGAGACTGATATGCTGGCAAGTTAAGAGCCTTAAAACAGATAAATATAATGCTATGTTAGATCATTTCACAGTAAACACTCATAGATCCCAGCTTTGCCTGAATATCAACCATGTACAATTTGCACAAATATTAGGTATTTCTTGGGGAAACTTAATGGTATCTACTTCCATCCCAATAATGAATGAGGAAAGTGACGTACGCCGTAAAGCAGTCCGCACATTTTGCAGGGTTACTGCCACCCTCCTCAAAGTTGCTTAGTGTCGGTGAAAGCGATACAGAGCCTCTCTGGCCATGACAGCAGTGTAATTCAACTAGGTGTGAGTCCACTTCTAATCACAAAAGCTCTGAAAATATTTTATAGAGGTTGAAAAGTTTCTCAGCATTTTTTTTTCTGACTTTTTCATTTTTGGCCAACTCAACAAATGCATAGTTTGGGTAAAGAAAGGCTTGGAGTAATTTCCTGACATGTTTGTGTTCTTTTTGTTTGAGGGGAAGTTGACAGACCTGACATCAAGATACTGTATTTGTGTTCTAATGGGCGATGTGAGTCAAAATGCAAGTATTGGTCCAGTGGGTGTGTTGAGTCACCTATTGGACCGCACACAGTAGTTTTTAGAATTAGTGGGCGAGCAGGCAGAGTTGACAGACTCCTGGATATCTGACATAATATTTTAGGCAAAACAGATCAAGGGTCCAGTTGCCTCCTATTTATGCCTTCTATGTGGTTGCTCTGACCCTGATGCCTCAGAATTTGCACTTGCATTGTGTAAGTATTGGTTTCTACTATTGTCATATTACCAAAATTAAACATGCATAAATAATCTAATGATTTGTGTAAAAAAACAAAACAACAAACAATATAAAACTCGAAGCAAAACTGTCATGATGGGTTTCAGAAAAGCCCAATATGCAGAACACCACGTGGACAGATGAAAAGTTTAACAATGTTTATTGATCGCAAGCACATGGAATAAACACAGGAACTGGTTCAGGCCTGGGGGCAGGTTCACTGGAGTCTGTGAGGATGGCAGTTCAGTTAGCTTAGGAACTGAAGATCTTGAGTTAGTGATTTTCTGAAGGATACCTTGATTAATCCGGGTTTCGCTTTGAGAGAGGAACTGTTGGGTCCAGAGACTGTTTTATTCAGCAGAGTCCAATAACCGCTTCAGCGTCTTACTTCTGACTTGAGGGCAGACCTTGGGTTTGAGTTTCCAGCTCTTAATCCAGACCTGCATGGGAATCCAGAGAAGAGTCTTTAGGTTTGGCTCAGAGGGCAGGCTCGGCAGGTTAAGCTCATCCAGAGCTTACAAAAGAAAAGGATCCCTGAAAGCAGAGACAAGGAGGTGTTAAAATCCAATCTAATCAGAGACAACCAAGATTCTCAGGTGATGCTAGGCTCAGGTGCTAACCAAACTGGATCAACACTGCAGCGTTGAGGCAAGGTCTGAAGGCAGGTTATATACAGGAGGATCCACTGATGACGAGATGCGCCTCAGGTGTGTTGGAGGCTCAGCTCAGGAGGATCCACAGCGCACTCTGCTGGAGAAAGGTGGTACAGCTCCAGATCCCAACAAAAACCATATTTAATATGGATAAAAACAGTCTTTTTATCCTTCAATGGATGAATATGATAAGGCAGCTTCTGCATAATCTTCTTACTTGACAGTTGCGGGGGAAAAAAATTAATTAAGTTTATATAGCACCAATTTACAACACATGCCATCTTGTGGTACTTTACAGAGATAATTCAACCAGATCAATCACACCGATCATGCATGCAGTGACAGTGGAGAGGAAAACTCCCTTTTAACAGTATGAAACCTGCAGCAGTACCAGGCTCAGCATGAACGGCCCTCTGCTGAGGGCAACTGGTGTGAAACAGAAACACATATAAAAGAAAAACATAAAGTACTGATATATTAATATTTTCTATGTTAGTCTATGTTACTATGTAACAGTAAACTAGCTCCACAGGTGGCTCTGTCTAGGAAAGAAATCATTAAGCAGATTAACTCTGAGCCAGTTTTTATATCAAAGAGATGAAAGAGAGTGCGTAGAGTTAGTCACAGTAAAGCTGAGCCCATAGCTATGTCTACGAGAGAAACAGGGGTAAAGACTGAGAAACAGTCCCAGCTCTTTCATCTAGAATTGAAGTTGTTGATGTCAGCAGACAACCTATTTTTTCAATCCAGGATGTGATCACAGCCTAACAGAACCAGGCCAGATAAAAGCACAATACAATAAACCAACAGAATGAAACCGAAGAATGAAACGTGGTCCCTATGTCCTCCAGCAGCTAAAGCCTTTAGCAGTATAACAGCTTAATTTCTGAGATAATAAAAATGATGTGTGTGAGGTGGACAGCAGAAGCATTTATTAGCATTCATTGATAAGAATTTATTTCATTATTGTAATTATTATGTTAATTAACTTTGTTCATTTACAGGTGAAGAAGGCTGTTGGAGGATCAATTCGTGGAATGGCACTTTACGAGGATGATGTAAGTCAAACACAATTATTTCTTTTCACCATTGTTTCACTGGTTAACCAACTCTGTTATAGCCAGAGTTAACTTACACACGGGTAGCATAATTCTGGCTACTTGTGTTGAATATGAATATTTTATTTATTTATTTCAGACAGCCCCACCACAGCTTTGAGTAGAGATTACCACTCAACAAAAACTAGATTAATCATTATTTTATTTTCGTGCTTGTAAGTCAAAGTTCTGATAACATCTCCCCTTAGCTCTTATATATTACTTTGTTTAATCCTGGCATTTAATTGGATAATGTCCAAGGACTGCTGTAACATAGTTTAACTGAGCATGTATATTTGGAAATGGTGAAAACCTGCCGCCTGCTGACGGAATATGATACCAGATGTACTAATATAGTGGTGGTAAAGTTGAAAAAAAAAACTTCTGGGTTTCAGCGCATCTTTTACTTGAGGGAAAAGGATTTTTTTCCCCTCCCCATATTTAATAATATGGATTTTATTAAGTCATTATGGCCTTATCTTGTTTTGCAACATATTGGTTCAAGCCACACCTGTCAAGTTTTGGATGTGGCAATATTGGAAATTTTACGAACTCCCAATCAATCTCCAGTATCCATATATTTAAAGACATGTGCACAACAAATCCGAAATAAACAATTTAAACCAACTGAAAAATTACAATAAAAGTGATCAGAATTTCCATCGCAAGTCCCAAGTCCTAAATACGACCTCTATAAGGATTCATTGTCCAGTTAATTTGATAATTGCCAATTTGACAAAATAACCACAAAAAAAATTCTGCATGCTTCTGACATGATCCATTATGTTCTAAATACCTATCAGTACACAGCTGTAAGACAACAGTAACAAGCTGTTTTACTTGTAGTAGTAACTAACTTCCTTGAGTACAACCCGCAACACAGAAGCTCAGTTTCAATGTCTGTAGCATCTGTACAGTAATTTACTCGCGCGCAAACACTGTTATATACAAAGACATGCAAACTGGACATTTTTTGGCAGCCCTTATCCAGCGAAAATTCGATAAGCATCATACATAGTTATGAGAGGCTGGTTGAAAAGAGGATTTAAATATGGTTGTTATCCAGCCGAAATGGGAGAATTGACAGCCAATTTTCAAGCTCATGTTAACTATCTGAATGGTGCTTCACTGTCGAGGAGGGATGTGCAGTATCAAGTTTTATGTTTTTAATATTTAACTTTAACACAGTTTTTATAATTTATTTATGTTATTTTAGTTCAAGCAATTTAAGATAGGCTACTAAAACAAAGTGCTCTATGAATATTATTTATTAATATCATTATTATTTTCTATTATTTATTCAGTATGTCTTTGAACCTCATCCTTCTTTAGTTGCCACTCTCAGAGTGCCAGTTAAACACACAATGTGCTTATTTTAATGAGTAAGTAATGTCAAAATTATTTTAAAGGTCTGTAATATTTGTTCAACAATCACTGTAGATCACCTACAACACATCCACTTATTGCATATGCAAAACAATATTGCAGTTTAGTGCCCGTTATTTGGAATCCTTCAATAATTATGAAGTGGAATTTATAAAACAGGTTTATTATCGCCTTCAGAAGGACGCAAATCACTCAACTTATGTACCATTAAATCTCAGAGGATTGTCAGAGAACAGAGTATAACAAAGAACAGAGCAGACAGGTCAGAGAAGTTTAAAGGGCAGGGAGTTCATCACATAATACCCCAGGCTTTATTCTACCACAGAGCTATGTTCTGAAACTGAACAGTGTGCCACAGCTTCAGACATGAAGCTTTGCCACAACTTCCATATCAATGTGTTTTTTCCACCATGTTTTTTTTTCTCCCACACTGTTTACATTTGCTGCACTTTATGGAATAGAAATGTTCATTTACTGTCTGAAAGCTGTACAAAACGAAGATTTGTTTTGTATACACTCTGTATATACAAAATGACAATTAAAGCTTTGTAAGACACACATTTCTCAAAGAAGCAGCGAAAAGGCAACTCAAGTAGAGCAGCAGAGATCCAACATTTTCAAAGCCTCTTCTTTTCTTTCCAATACTTTTTTTAAAGATCATTTTTTATGCTCTAATTGATTTTAGTTTAGTCTAGTTTATTTTGTCATTTTTGAAAGTATGCAGACAGTTACAAGAGAGCGAAGAAACATTCAGCAAAGCTCAGCTCACCTGCGACAGCCCGTATATGGGCCATATTGCAGTGATATTCATAGGCAGAATCATAAGACTGTAGATGTTTACAGTCACGAGGGGCAGTTTGCACCCAAAATTACATTATTTCGCTGCAGGAGCCTTGCAGATAGGTCAAGCATAAACACACCATCCCCATTGAAAAGCGGTTGGTGGCAGTCTGCAGCAGTCTGCAGCATCTTGCCAAAGTGCTGGTGAAGATTCTCAGTCATCCAGGTCATAGTCATTTAAAAAAAAAAAAAAAAAACAATCCACTGGACTTTGTTTCCAAGTTTGATGACGTTTTGCTTCCCATCAAGGAAGGTTTTTCAATTCAAAAAAAGCTTCCTGGATGGGAAGCGAAAAGTTTTCAAACATGGAAACAAAGCCCAGTGGATTGTTTTTTGTTTTTTTTTTTACTTTTTTGGAATCTTGCCAACGGGGATGCTTTTTTTCTGGGGACACAGGGCAGCTGGTTGGAGTTGATCAAAACAAGAATTGAGCTAAATACAAAGAAACCTTCGAATTAAAATAAGGCCATTGAAGTGAAGGTAGCTTTAAAAGTATTAACTCGGTTATGTGTATTTTTTTTTTTTTTAGTAAAGACAAGCGATAATTTTTACTTTAAGGAATTGTATGGAATTAATTTAGTTCCATTACTGTTGCAGACAACTAACTTTCTTTTTTTATAGAAATTTGAAAAAAAGATGCAATCAAGAAATGAGAGTTTGAAAAACTTCTTAACAGAAGAAAATTAGGTTTTGAGAGTGACTTTGCTGTTTACTTATCTTTTTTTTTTTATTTCCATGTTTCGGTTTCTTAATATTAAATTTTTTTTCTAATTTTACTTTTTCCACACTTCAATTTAAAACATTTTCAAACTGAATTTTCGCTTCCTTTAAGCCCAAAACAAATCTGCAGTGGCCAGTAATGTTGTTGATAATGTCCAGCAGTCCAACAGAAATGCATTTTTGCTCCTTACTTCCAGTAAAAGCCCGCCCCCAGAAGTCAAAAGAATCTGGAAAACGCATTTAAAAACAATGAAATACATAAAACTCAATCTCACAAAACTCAGAAAAGCATTAATTTAAAAATCTAAAATGTGTAAAACAAATAAAAAGTAATGAAATATCAAGCAAAAAAGTGAAAAAACTACATAATTTGAAATTTTATTTTGTTAAATTTCATTCAATGTTTTTAAAAGTTTACTTTCTGGATTTTCTTTCTTCAAATTTCTGTTTACAAAACTTGTTATTTGCTTGCAACAATAAAGGAGCAAAACGGACTCCATACACTGGAGATGTTTGCTCTTTTCCATTAGAGGATAATAGCAGATAATCTATATAGATAGGGGCTAAAGACAAAAGCAAAGAAAGTGTGTTTATTTGAAGGGCTTATGCATTTTTTACTGAATGTTTAATGCTTATGTTTTTGTGCAGCTGAACGAAGGCGAGGACTCAGAGGAAAGGGGACGCATCCTGATATCACTGATGTTTAACAGCCAGCAGAGCCGTCTGATAGTGGGCGTGATCCGCTGTGCTCATCTGGCTGCCATGGACTCCAACGGATACTCAGATCCCTTTGTAAAAATGTATGTTCTCCTTTATCTACCTAAGTTTTGTTATTTTTTATCTTATTTTCTCAATAGTCTGATTGATCAATCCAAACAACAAGCAGATAACCTGATATGTTCAGTGTTTTTCTGCCTCTGTGTGCTGCAGATGTCTGAGGCCAGATATGGGAAAGAAAGCCAAAAACAAAACGCAGATAAAAAAGAAGACCCTCAACCCAGAGTTCAACGAGGTCAGTCGCCACTGACTGCTCTCTCTTTGGTTTCACTCACAGCTTATGTAACTCACTCTTGTTTCGTCGCCGTTTTTCAGGAGTTCAGCTATGAAATTAAGCATGGCGAGCTCGCCAAGAAAACTCTGGATGTATCAGTCTGGGACTATGACATGGGAAAATCCAACGACTTCATTGGTAAGTCCAGATCTTGGTTTGAAAACTTAATTCCTAATCAACCAGCTCTGGCATGGTCACTATGGCCATTAAAATAGGTTATTTATAAAGGACCACAGAGTCTGAAAATTTCTGGTTTGATTTCCAAAGATGTTACAGTTATTGCTTCAGGCTGAAATACTTATTGCAAAAAAAAAAAAAACAATCACTTCCCTTTGGCATGAAATAACAGCCTCACTCACTTTATCCTGATGCGTTTATTCTGGTCTTTTTGTTTTTGCTGTCCCCATGAGCTGCTCATTATTTTCAAAATTTCATGTTTTCCTGAAAGTTAAGAGAAATAAGATTTAGAGTGGCTGATCTTCAAATATCCAGGCACTGATCTTAATTTATAATGATCACAATGGGTTTGGTTTTAAGGTTTTTGTGAGGACCTAAAAGCAGAAGCTGAGAGGCAGGGGTGAGATCTTTGAAGGTTTAATGAAGGATGACAGGCAGCCAAACAGTGATCCAAAAAAATCCAACTTCAAAATGTAAATCAATACAGCAATCCAAAAAAAACAACATAAGAATTAAACACAAACCAGAACCATGGAGACATCAGGGGAAAACAATCAGGAGGAACCAGGGTAGGATGAAGTAAGACGAGGAACCAGCACTGAGGGACTGAACAGGGAGTGTATTTATGGATGACTGAACAAAGGCAGGACTAACGAGTTGATAAGGAGCAGGTGTGAGTTGATCTGACTAGGAAGCCAAGGGAAAAGGAAACACAAGGGGGCAACAGAGGACAAGCAAAGAAAAACCTAAGAAATTAAAATAAATCCAGAACACACCAATAAAGCTAGAAAACAAAGAAAACATAGATAAACATGAAACTGTAAACTTAGAGAAAACCAACAGAACCAAGATTGTTACACAACAGGAAAATGAATGAGCAAGAGGTTTATTTTTTCCAAATCAGTCGAATAAGTGAAGACAACAAATTTTCATGAGGCCCTTGTTAATAAAGCTATTTAGACATTGGTGCTGTTTATATAAACCTATGGTTCTACATATTATATACATTAAATGGGTGGAGTAGTTCTTCCTTATCTTTAATTATGTGAAATACTCCTTGATTACTGCAGAGACAAACTCTTCCTCATAAAACATAAGCAAAAAACTTATTCTATATTAATCCTCTTTATATGTAGTATTCTGTGTTGAATAATGAATCTCTGTGTTTTGTTGTTTTATTTGGTTAAAATACCAAGTTTAAAATGTCAAAGTAGGTTATTATGCCTGATGGTGTCACTGCTGCCCCCCTCTGGTTTACAGTAGAACTACTTTTGCATAGCTTATGAATTACATCCACATGAGAACAACAGAGGGGGGCTAAAGGGCTGGTTATACTCCAGCAGCAGTGTGTCACAGTGAGCTTTTCGCAGGTATGACGCAAATATTTTTCATTTATGCCCAATTTTGAAGCGTGGTCTGCGCTATGTTATTCCACGCAACAGACTAGGTGTGGGTTAGATACGGCCGAGGCGGTGAGGAAGTGGAGGCAAGTTTGTGCGACAACAGAAGGACTGAGGGCGAAAAAGAGCGGGGATCCAGGTGGAAAAAGGTTCCCAGCGTTCTCTCGCACCTAGCTATTCTAGCTGGTCCAGCTTCACGAGTCGTTTTCCACAATGGCGGTCATACAAACAAAACAAGCAGGTACAGTACCAAACAGGAAATACGCATAGAGTAGTGAAAATGTAGGTTTGACCAATCAGATGCCTTCTGTCTGCGGTCAGCTACAATTTGAGAAAGGTGTCTGCGGAAGGGGCGGGGGCATTCTGCGTTATCTGCGACACACACGCAGATGACTTGGGGCGTTTGTCAATATGCGTTCTTGAGCGTTCTCGTGTGCTCGTGTACTCGTGACACGTCATCAGCCTCAGCCCGAGTACCGTTCCAATTCTCGAGAACGCCAGATCGAGAACGCATCAAATCCCCGGATGTTGTTCTCGCCCCGCCCTCTTTATCCAGCATGCATCAGAGCAGACTTGTGCGTTCTTGAGACTAACCGCTTCCCCAGAATGCCCCGCGGCCCCAGCTTGATTCCAGACAGCGCTCACAGTGTTAAGTTAAATATTCCCTTTTCTGTTGCTGTTGTTCTTCAAAAGTACGTTTTGAAATCGTTTGAGGCGATAACATTATACATTTAAGCCTCCCTGTGTTTACAGAGTTAGTGCGAAATTTAAAAAAAAAGTCTGACGTTAAGCAGACTGGAGTGACCAGCAGACCTCCGAGGGTAACCGCAGCCAGGGCTAATGTTACCCCGTCTGTAGTGCACTTCTCTCGGTCTAGTTATGTGTGAACTACCGCTCGTTCTGATGGCGGTTTTTTGCATTTCGGTAATTTTTTTAAATGTTTTTTAAGCTTTAGAAATTAAAAATAATAATGTTTTGTGTAGGGAATGAATAGTTTTGACTGTTAAAGAAATGCTAAAGAATGTTGCATGTGATGACGTCACGAGTACGCTTCTGTTCCAATACACATACGTGCTTGCGCGCTTGCGTTCTCGTCAAGTCCGATCTTCCTGCATTCTCGCCAAGAACGGACTTGACGAGAACACGAGTACGTACTCGCGTTCTCGTGAATTGAGAAATGGCCCTGGTTTCGGAGTATAAACCAGCCTTAAGAAGGGCCAAGCCCCCCCAGCCCCATCTCTAGCCCAGCCCCTCTTTTCTACCTTTTCCATGTTTAGGTTTATGACAATGGGGCAAACTGGGTTCACTACCCCAGCCATGTTTCTGCTTGTAGTATTTCTTAGCATACATAAAGCAGGTCAACTGCAGACAGAGACTGAGGACTTGGCACTATTGCTCTTTGGAAAGAGTTGTGATGAGGGCTATTGTTTTACAAACAGCTAAAACTATGGTAGGATAAGGTGCTGGATATTAGAGGTGGGCTGATCAATCAAAAATATTGATAATATCGTTACCAGGTCTGTATTTTATTGGATCTATGCCATCATGGTTAGATCAATACTTCAGTTTTAGATGAACTCTTTTATGAACTTCAGATGGTTTGTGATGGTTTCAAAATGCAACAACCAGGTTTCCAGCGCAAAGTAGGACATCCCCCACGTCTCACACAAGCACACATACTCGTTCTTCCATTGTAGTTAGGACCATGTGTTGATTCCCATTGATTTTCAGTCATTTTCAACCCTTTTTATGCCCTAACCCTAAAACTATCCCTAAACCTACCCATTACCAATACATACTTCACCCTAACCCTCACCAATTGACACCTTAGTCCTAAACCTAACCATTAGCAAAATAGCATGTGAGGACCGGCAAAATGTCGTCACTTTGCAACAACTGGTCCTCTTGATGGAGAAATTGGGAAAATGGTCCTCACTCTGAGAGCTAGACGGATGCACACCCACCCACACCCCTATACACACTGTTGGGTTTTCACTTGTTTTGCACGAGGGGACAGGCCCACACTAAGGCTTCTGAAAATTATTCTTTGAATACTTTGAAAACATTTATTGTAGATTGTTAATTTTGTTTCAGAAAACCCCTTTTTTTTTGTACTCTCATGACCTCAATCATGACCTCAAATATGTTTTACTTTTTTTTTTTGAAGAAATAAAAATGTTTTCTCTGTTTTCGTTGTTTCTGTTTTTTTATGATAACATAATTTTATTAAAATAGTACATATGTTGGACAAACTTAAAACCCCAAAAACATTTAAAAATCAGAAGTCCGATTTTAAAATTAGACATTAAAAAATATAGGTAATGATCTCAATATCAGCAATACTTGCCCTGTATTTACTTTGTATCAGATCAATATAATCTCACAGTAAGCAGAATTTCTTTAAAAAAAACTGTATTTGCTCTTACATTGAGCAGGTAAATGAGATTAACTACCAATGAACTTTGTATTTTACATTAAAATAAGTAAATATTTTACACTTGAAATTATCACTTTAAATATAAGTGATCTCATTTCATTGGAAAATGGTCTTACTTATTAGCTCAAATCAAGGGAAAATACACTTTTTTCATAAACATTTCACATATCTTTCACATATCTTGCACACTATGGAGAATGGGCCAAGAGTTTATCAGGTGAAAATAAAACTTTTTTAACATTCCACACTACAAAATAATGATTCTATTATACCAGAAATGAAGTAACTGAACACGCCTACCCAAAGTAAATCCACTGCATGAGAAACATTCCAGCTAAACTAAGTGTAATGTGTCAGAGGAATGTAATGTAAAGCAGCCTGGTGCTGTTTCCCCCATTCTTACTGCGTGTCCGTTCCTCTGTAAGAAATTACTGACCTTTATTGATGGTATGAAATGTGGCACTATCTAACAGGACAAGTACAGACACAAGTCCATTATCTGAATGGCTTGCTTCTTTGATCACTACATGTTCCAGCCTTATAATGCTGTGAACAAGTGTATGAAAGGCACCACTGTAACCTAAACGGGAAAATGTAGACACAAGGCCATTAGTGACAATGCGCTTTGCTTAAATGACAGGGAAAGAAAAAAAACTTTTTTAGTCCCTTTTAACTACCATGCTTTGGTCTGGTGGTTAAAGTAGGGAGCTCATGTTCTGAGAAGGCTACAAGTTTGCTAGTTCAAATTTCACCCGGAAGGCTTTCTGTGGGGCTGCATAGGGGTAACCCACTACTCCCCATGGAGTGGGTTAAATACTGAGGACAGATATAGCTGGATTGTGTGAAATTGGAAAGACAAATAAAAATGTTAAATGTTTTGCAAATATAGGCTACTCAGTCGCTCAGTGGCCTTGCCTTGCAGCCAGAAGGTTCCGGTGTAGGTACCAGATCTGCTCGGGGCCCCGCCCCTTCTTATGATGTCAACATATGGCAACTCCAATCGGACAAACCCATTTCTTAAGGGTCAAATCTCTTTCAACATATTATTAACTATATTTGCTATTATTTACATTTCATTGGCGATCTAAAGTAACCGAAAGTAGAAAACAATCATTGTCAGTCTTGAAGGAAAGTACTGCTTTCTAAGACTAAGCTCTGCTATTTAACAAGGTGACACAAAAATTCTCAGTGTATTTTTATTCTTTTTATTAAGATATGAGGACAGGGAACGACAAATGGAACATCCTAAAAAATTACTTTCATAGACATTTTAGACAAAGAAAACAACAGTTGTAGAAAACGAACGGTTGTTGTTGATACAAATTCAAAGTTAGTGTGGTTTAATATGGCTAACTGACCGAGCTAAAAGCAGCTAACCTGTCAGCTAGTGCTACCCAACTTTCTCCCTTTACACCATGGTCTTGCAGTTACTTTGTTCACCATAAACAGATATTTTTTTCAGTTTTTTTCATCAAACAGGTAGAATTTCATCGGTCGGTAGACACGCTAACGGACGCTAGATGATGTTATTATCGTTGTCTGGGCAACCACCATGTTTTACATCATGTGGCAACGTTCAGCCAATCATGTAGGGTACCAACTATAGCATGCAAAGGACCCTAGCAGATCTGACCACTTAAGCAGGTCTGGTACCTACACCGGGCTTTATTCCCGGCCCGGGGTCTTTCTGCATGGAGTTTGGATGTTCTCCCTGAGCATGCATGGGTTCTCTCTAGGTACTCCGGCTTCCTAACCTGACAACAGCCAGATGCATGTCTCGCTCCGCCTAGCTCCACTCACATACATCTGGGAACCCGCCATAGGAATTGCCTTTACTGAAGGCTGGGACTTATCAAAACTCCTTGCATATGATTGGATAAGCCACTTGTCTGTCATCTTTATCGACGTGCAATTTCAACCACTCACACCGAAGCTAACCCGTGACGCTGTGAGAGGAGGAGCCATTTGGTAGATCAAGCTCTTGCCAAATCCGGTCGGGAGAAGGGCGAAAACATCGTTTCCACCAACAAAAGCCTTCAAAGCCGTTCTCTGATGTTCTTTTAATGAAACAATATCAGATAGATTGGACAACACAGAAGAAATAGCATCAATGCTAACGCTTGCTTCCTCAATGCGAGCCGCCATTGTTGTTGGAATCTCACGATCGCTTCTCCACTCCAGGACACACCCGCCCTGCGTCCTGATTGGACAGACCATAAATTCGGTTGGGGAAATCACTTTCAATGAGCGGGTTCCCAGATGTATGTGAGTGGAGCTAGGTGGAGCGAGACATGCATCTGGCTGTTGTCAGGTTACCGGCTTCCTCCCACAGTCCAAAAAAATGACTGTTAGGTTAATTGGCTTTTCTAAATCCTACTTGGGTTGGAGTGTGAACTGTTATTTGTCCTGTTTGTCTCTGTGTTGCCCTTCGATGGACTGGCTACCTGTCCAGGGTGGACCCCGCCTCTAACCCATAGTCAGCTGGAGATAGGCACCAGCACCCCTCGTGACCCCAGCTGGGATAGAGTGTAAAAAAAAATGTATGGATGGTTTGCAAATAATTCTTGTTTGTCTTTCTTTCTTTAGGGGGCTGTCAGTTGGGCATCCAGGCTAAAGGAGAGTGTTTGAAACACTGGTACGAATGCCTCAAGAATAAAGACAAGAAAATAGAGCGCTGGCATGTTCTGCTTAACGACAACACCGTCCAGTTTGAGGATTAAATTATCCTTTAATTATTCAATTGTCTTCTGTGCTAATTTAGGATGTCCCTACCCAATACTGTTTTTCATTTCATTAAGGTTTAACAACTCCTTTGCATTTTGTTTTTATGTTTTTCTTTCTAGAAGTACAATGTGAATTTTAAATATGTTGTGACAAACATGGATGTCGATCTAAAGTAACCCCCTACCTGCACACCCACACCTCCTAAACTAATCCAGGAAACCTATCATATCATATCCTGCATAATATGATAAATGAGCCGCTGAACTGAGCGTTTATCATAATTCAAGGGGAAGATAAAGTTTTTGTTATCACTGTTATCAGGCGAGAACGTTGTATTGAAGTTTGCACAGATCCTCAGGCTCAAAGGAGGGAATTCCCGGTTGTCTGTCTGTCCTTTGTTCACCCCATCATACTATTCCAGTGACCACGTCATTACTGGGTGAAGAGGTCAGCTTTCCTGATATATCTAATCACATTGTGTTAGTTGATGTGTGATGTTATTCTGGTCTGTGCATCATCCAAAACAAAACAAACAAAAGATTTTTGTATTTTATTTGTGCTTTTGTGCCAAATGACCATGCATCTCAATTTCGATAAATGGATCCAAGACTAGTTGTACATGTTGGCCTAAATATAATGTAATTTTCCTATTAACTTAAAATTTGCCATTTATGAAATGTGAAAACTCATAGTTTCCTCTAAATGATCCTGTGTTAGTTATATTTTTCATTCATATGCTGAGTTCGGACTCACCGGCTGGAACCTCCCAAGGTAAGGTTACGTCATAGCATGGCGCCGAGGCCTGTTAGGATTGGAAGACTCCTCGTTATGCGGCCAACAAATGCAGCCTTCTTTTTCCCCATTTTGAAGGATGGGTCTGGTGTGTCCTACATAGCCTTGGGTTTCCCATGATTCATTGCGAGTCCAATCAAGCCGGCTGCTCTATGCTAAGGGGAAAAAGGGAAACGTCTCCAAACAATGGTGAATATTGTAACTGCAGTTTAATATGCTACAACTGAATAGTTCTGTCTTAAATTAATGAAAATACTTTGTTAGTCAGTCAGATATGTGGCAGTTATGTTTGGTGTATTGTAAAGTTTTGTCTGTCTCTGTGCAAATGAGTTAGTCTAACATTTAAGCACAGATTACAATATCTCTTCAGTGTGGTGACCCAGAACTGTAGTGAGAAATTGGGTATCCATTCTTTGCCTGCTTTGTTTGTCAACTGTAAAGGTTGCTAGGTGACAGAGTTTACAGTGGAAAGGTGAAGACTGGACCTGATTAAATCCATAGCCTAAATTCTTTTGGCCTCTTATTTTTACGGACATCGACGAACCCAGTCCAGGTAGACCGGGTCCTTCGGAAATTGAATGCACTGTCACTAGCCGATCCGTCCCGGAAGCACGATCCGTCCTGCGCATGCGCAAAGAGATATACATCCAGGTGTCCATAAATGTAAATGCAATGTAAATATGGTACTAAAATTACTTATTTATATCCTTAACTCTCTAAAGAATGCTAATACACATCTTTAAAAAATGTTTATGACTTTTGTGAGACAATTTTTTACATTTTCTCCACGAAAGAAAAACATAAAACTCAAAAAGAGTGGATTGATGTTTAAATCCAAAGCTGAAAAATTAACCACCGGAAGTAGCGCAGGATCCCACTTCTGGTACAGATCTGGCAGAGACGAGTGATAAAACAGAAAGGACTTTATGGCATTTATTTCATCAGGAAATACATTATATTTTAGTACTTTTACTATTTTTGGAGAGGGTATACGCCATTTAGGTCTTTTTAACAAAATAAAATCGAAGTCGACCCGGATGTATATCTGGCCCCCAAAAGCAGCGTCAGCATTTAAATGTCTACGTTCATCCCCCATGCTGCTCTGTTGTCTCCCACTATCTTCTCCGTGAGCAGAACTTGGCTCAACCAATGGGAGGAGGGTATTCTGGATCGCTACATATATGTTGTCAGCTCAATGGTCACAACACAGGACAGGGCCCGGGAACAAGTTTACCGTAAGTTTTGTATCTAACGTGCCCTTGTTCTTCATTTTCCATTAGCTTTTTACTGACTATTTTTTACTCTCACAGTAATACAGGACAAAGTGCTTTCCGTTTCCACTAAATACTTGACAGGTACTTCTATTTCTAAATATGGAACGATTCCATTTTTCAATTGACGGTTTGCAGCCCTACTTAATTGTAAACTGGAGCTCTTTTTGGCTTATGTAAATCTCCATCTGAGAAAGCATCTCCTAACAACAGCTGTACAAACACCAGCTTCTTCAGCCGACTCTCCTATTCCTCTGTTTGGTCCTCCTTATCTTCTTCATCTTTTGTGTTTTCTACATTGTCATAAATTTCAAGAAGATCCCTTTCAATCTGAAAAGTTTTTTTTTTTTACTTCATTGCTGTTTTATCACTACAGGACCTGGCATAGGTAATTTATCCAGAATGCATTGCAGCATAACATGTGACAATATTTGATTTAGATTTATTAAAACTGAGCAGCTCACAGTATTGAAAATTAATATTTTGACAATAAGATCTATTGTGACAACTAGTCATGGATCCTTTTTAATTATACATTTCAGAAAAGATCAAACAAGTTCTTTGGGTCCTTGCAGCTCACTTTCCTGCATGCATGTGCTAGCAGTCTGTTTCTGCAGGAGAAATTAAAAAAGCAGATTAAAGCTTCTGCATGATGCTTCACTGTAAAACCACCTAAATCTGACCATACAGAACTGTGGTGAGCGAAAGACATCATTAATAATTCCTGTTAAAACTTTCCCAAATGCTCCTCTACCCTGTACACCTGTATTATTGCTGATGCATGGATGAACCTATGTTTTTGCAAACATGTGGCTAATTAATAAAAACATGATGGCAGTTGATTCTGACAAGTGTTTTCTTTTTTTTAATTCTGTGACATGGTATAAACTTTGTCTGAATCAGGTGAGGTCTGATCCAATCAGCTCATGCAGACACGCAGATGAGAATAAGTGGACTTTGACTTTTTTGATAATGCAGCGTCTCTCCAAGTGTGTGAAAGGTCACATGCCTGATTTACTCTGTCTGACCTTGAATCCACTGTAAAGTAAATACAGATATCGACCCAGCAGCAACAGCTGATCCTACTAGGAAAAAATGTAAGCACATTCTTACATGAAACTTAATATTATAATAGATCAATGCTTAAACTGATCAGAGCAAAAAAAGATGAAAAATCTAAATGATAGGCACAAAGAGACACAAAATATGAAGTAATTATTATGATGTAGGATTATTACCCCATTAAGAAATTTTTGAAAATATTTCAATGTGTTTTATTTATTGATTTCAGGTCCATTAATTATAAAAACACATTTAATACTATATATGTGCTACACACTACCAAAACAGATCAAACCTACAAAAAAAAAAAAAAGATAAAAACCACCTTGAAAAAATGTTTTTGGAACAAATTATTTTTGTTAAAATCATCTGTAATTTTCATTAAAGAGGCATTACGTAGCCTTATAATGATACTGCCACCTGTGGCCAAAACTGCAGGACTCCTTGCTTGTTCTCGCAGCTTGCGCTTACGGTTAACAAGTTTATTTATTTATTTATTTTTTACTTCTTTCACCCTACATGGAGTTGCCATTGCTGTTTGAGATGAGCTGGATGCCGGTTGCATCTGAGTAACCACAAAATCCTGCAAAGGGCAACAGGCTCATAGATGCATAAGTGCTGAACTACCGAGGTGTCAGTCTGCTCATCAAACAATGTTCTACTCTTAAAAGATTTCAATAAAAAGGTTATTCAAAAGATATTTTTCAGTGAAACATACTTATTGTCTATTTAATGTTTAGAAAGTGCTACAATACTTTGATTTCCTGTCCTAACAAAGACTTTTTGAGTCGTGGCACTCTACAGCGCTTTACATTCCATTCAATCACGCACCCATTCAAGGTGGCAAGATACATTGTAGCCACAGCTGCCCAGGGGCACACTGACAGAAGTGAAGCTGCTGTAGACTAGCACCACAAGGCCTACATAACACCAGAGCTGGGCGAGGAAGGAGAAGTGTCTTTTCCAAGGTACCAAAACCAAGTGGCTTGCTTATGGATTGATCCAAATACATCAAATCGTAGTTCCTGCCCCCTGTCCTAGCTCCTATTCCTTATCCTTCCATGGGGTCAACAGCAAGAGCACTATCCAGGGTAAGAAATGATCTCCGGAGTGCAGAGCTGAATCCAGACAGCCTTCATTCTTACGGCCATAATTACGTAGTGGAAACACACATGAATCACGCTGGTGAAATCAAGACTACAGCTTTAAATGAAAAGTCTGGCCAGCAAGGAATAAACAGTGGATCATTATTTAAAAAACTAACAGGTTCACTGTGATTTAATGAATTTAGCGTTAATCAGTAAAAAAATGTAACAATTTTTCGTTGCGGTCAATGATCCCGGGAACAGACATTTTAGCCCAAATATAGTAACACCTCACTCCTGACATCTTCCAACAGTGACGTCACGGTGCGGTAAGCCTAGCGCCATTATCCCCGCTTTACAAGAAAATCAATGGTGATCAACTTGCCAACTTGAAGAAGAAAGATTTGCCATCGAACTACTGGCCAGTCATCAATCAGTTACTCTCTGCTTACTGTAGCTTAGTGCACTGGTCGTTGCATCATGGATAATAGTGCATTGTGACAAACACCAGATACAGCACTGGGACTTGCTCAACAGCCGATAACGGAGTAGTGGCAGTAGTGCTCTTTGACAAACAAGAAATTACTCTTAGTTTAAAAAAAAAAACAACTTATAATTTTTTGAACAGTATGTAATAATTTCATGCTTAAGGTACTTTTAGAAGTTTGTATTCTTAATGTGACCGGACTTTACCTGTAAAGAAAAGGACTAAAATAAAAATAAAAAGTTACACAGATTTAGAGAATTGCTGAAGCTCCCTGTTATAAAACGTCCAAACACGTGAAGATGAGGACTTTAGCATGTGTCAAATAGAGTACATGTGAAAAAATAATGGATTTCTGTGACACTGTGAGGTGTGCCGTGTGAATGCATCCTGTCATCCTGTGAGCAATTTTACAGAACTTAGCAATGGCTATTAATGTCAGGAGGTCCCTTGTGTGTGCTAACTGCATTGGTGCTAGGAAGCAGACTGTTTCCTGATCCTAGCTCCTTCCTAACTGCTAACACTATTCGGACAGCACTTTAAGTGACTGTGTTTGCACTTACCCATGAACCATGTCCTATATGAGGACACTACAGTAAGTAAGTTACATAGTTCATTCTGAACTACCCAGTAAAGAAAAACATACATACCTTTCTACTGAAACTCTCCTCTAGGGAAGAAACTCCGGCAGAACTAGGCTTGGTGTGAGCGGCCTTTTGCTGAGGCCGACTGGGATTTAAGGAGATAGAAGCAGACATACAGAAAATAAGAAGATATACAAAGGGTAACAGTTGCCTATTTCCTGAGATAGACCTGTCCAGGAAAGATACAGCCAGAGCTCCAATCAGTTCCCATGTCACGAGATGAAAGAGAGGACATACAGCTAGTCACAATTAAAAGAAACAGGGCTACACTGAGAAACAGGCCAAAGTTCGACATCTACATTGTAAACAAAGGTGTTGATGGCAGCAGCCCTGCTGATATTTCATTCCAGGATGGAGTTACGAACAGACAGAAACAGAGTGAATGAAGCCACTATGACAAGAAAAAGCAGAGAGAGCATAAGGTTTTGGATTGAACCAACCAATAATGCAGAATCGGAGGATAGAGATAGAATAAAGCAGATTGAGGAAAAGTGGTCCTCGTGTCCTCCTGCATCCTATACTTATAGCAGCACAAATATAGGAAAAAACTTAGAATAACCAAACTATTTTGGATGGGGTATGAGAAAAGTAGAGCCAAGGAAAAAAAAAGGTTTGTCTGGACTGACTTCTTTCAATACACTTTTCACAGTTAAAAATAAATTACTGTACCACATATTTTCACATTATAACTAAGTTACATTCTTACAGTATAATAAAAAAATTGTAAGAGCACTTTGTTTTATTTTCAGAATATAAAAAAGTTAATGCCATTTTTAGACTTAGACCAGCGGTCCCCAACCTTTTTTGCACCACGGACCGCTATATGTCAGACAATATTTTCACGGACTGGCCGAGGGGGGGGGGGGTAAATACGATCAAGTAAAATGATATGACTGGCATCAAATCAAATACAAACAGCATACAAATAAAACAACAAGCCGGTCCCATCTAGGCTTAATTGGAGACAATGACACATGAAGTGTGCTCCTGATGGCCAGTCTGCTCCGTAGCTTTGTTTTGGTCACTGTAACCGCAGAACATCCCGCTTCACAAAGATAGGATGTTATAGATAGGATAAGTCTTGAACGGAATTAACCTGTGTCAAGAGGCACAGATCTTGATGTTATTGGGAGAGAATACCGCAATTTTTTTATATTTTTTCAAAATAAAACATCACTCAGACTCTGATCGTCGATAAATTATTTATATATATATATATATATATATATATATATATATATATATATATATATATATATATATATATACTTTTTTCTGTGCAGCCCGGTACCAAATGACCGACGGACCGGTACCGGTCCACAGCTCGGTGGTTGGGGACCACTGATTTAGACTGCATACATGCATATCCAAAATAGCAATTGGTTTTAGGATTCAACTTAAGTTTATAGGTGCTTGAGCTGCTTGAGCTCCCACTGAGCCTTGTTCTCCTGCAGGTTTCTTCCTGTTAAAAGGGAGTTTTTCCTCTCCACTGTCGCTACAAGCATGCTTAGTGTGAGGGCTTACCTTCGCGTGAATGAGTCGATGCAATCAACTGGTTTTCCTTTGACTGTATGATCTGGTGAACTGTAAAGTGCCTTGAGATGACACGTGTTGTGAATTGGCCCTATGGAAATAAACTGAATTGAAAGTAAATGAAATTTGGGCCAATTTTGAGATTACTCAGGGCTTAATGGATTTGAGATAATTCAGTAAACATCTCACGGTAATCCATGAACAGGTGCAGAAAGTTTATATCCATGGAACCTTCCCTGATCTTCATGTTGAAAAGCTGCCATCTCAATTTGATCTGACTCTTTCTTTCTTATGTAAAGCCTGGTGTCTCTTACGTTCCTCTGCCTGTTTATCACAATACTGCAGCTGAACAGCAGCAATATATCTAAGGCTTAATTGAAGCAAGAAACAGAACCTTATCAGTTCCTGTAGATAAGATAATTTATAAACACTTATCTCCACTGTCAACGTATTAAAAATTATGCTATAAACAGCATGTTGTAACATTATAAGGCTTAATGTTATAACATTTAAGCTTAATTGATCAAACAATTCGCTTTTATATTATGTATAATAAATTCTGTCCATCCACTATAACAGTTAAGAGAATTTGCTCAGGGGTTATGTGAAAGAATTGAAATCTCAGATTCAAGTAAAGGAACAAGGATTATATAACACAGGGGGAATCATGACTGTAACAAATTATTTTAAGAGGAGTCAGACTGTCAAGTTTTTGCTTCTCATTTTAGAGAATGTATTTTTGTTTTAACTTATTTTGTAGTTTACACTCAAAGTGGAAAAAAATGTAGATAATTATATAGACTTTGAGCTTTTGTCAACATAATACATTTTTCATAACATGACAGAAAACAAAAACAAAGAAAAAAGAAATCAACAGAAAAACAATACTGTATTTAATTGTCTAATATTTTAGCAAGGGATCTGACCCACTTGCAGAGAAACCACTCAGAGAACACGGAGAAAAGTTTAACAGGTTTATTTGTAGCAATGTGAACGGAGGTTGGATCTGGAACTCAGAGAAGTGGTGAACTGGAACTGGAAAGTCTGAAGGGGAGATCACAGAGATCAGTTCAGGGACCGTGGAAAATGAGACTGCAGCTTGAATTATGCTGGAATGGGACTCACATTTGAGGGGGCTCTTGTCGTTACTTTAATCCAGTCTGTGTGGGATTATCCAGACAAGAGGGAACTCATTGGAGAGCAGACAGGTAGACATATGTTGGACCCGGAGGAGTAATGGAGCAAACTGTCACTTGGATTACCGATGGGAACTTGAACGGATCATGTGGAGGTTTTGCCCTGCTCAGCGTGTACTCAGTAAATACTTCCAGGAGAAGAAGGTCCAGGTATCCAGTTACATAGAAGGACTTCCTGCTGAAGAGCAAAGACAAAAACAACATTAGACTCAGAGAAACAAAGCTCAGGTTAGACTCTGCTAATCTCAGCTTGGCTAGAGTACCCAAAACTGGCAAACACTCTGGCGTCGAGATAGTGACAGCCCACTGCTCAACTACTCCTCCAGTAATGAACCAACGAGCAGCAGGTGTGCAGGGAGGCCCAACGAAGACAGGGCACCACCTGGTGGTGGAGAGAGATGGAACACACAAACAACCCACACAAACTGGATTCCTAACAAATATTTATTTCATGAGAAATTATTATTAATTAATATAAATTCTTTAGTTTAGCAGCCAGTTCTACAGGGGCACTGGCCCCTGTTGTCAACTGCCTAGAACCGCCCCTGCTTATTAATAAAGGGAAATGATTATGTGTAGAAAAGCGAGAAATTCTGAAGCCCACATTTACCTCTTCAATTTTTACAACAACAACTACACAAGTCACTTATATAAAAAAAATAATCTTCAAAGTGACAACACATGTCAGAACCTGATTAGAAATGATACCTTCTACCTAAATACTTCCAGAACTTTACTTGATAAATATCTCTAGAGAGGAAAATAAAAGGCAGGCTGGGATAGTCATGGAGCCACTGTTCTCTAACATTCTTCCGAACAGCTCCAGCCTTACTGGACAAAACCTACACTTCTTTAATTAACAATCAAGTGAGAATTTACCGCAACGTTTGTGGTGTGTCTTATTGATTCTCAAGTGCCGTAACCTGATTGTAGTTTTATAAGGGCTAGCAGAAACATCCATGGTGCCTTAAGCTGAACTAATTATTGGGGGCCTCTATTCTGACAGTAATATCTCTTGCTTTAATCAATAGTACAATGATAAGATCATTCACACACCTGCTATAAACTTATTGCAGGTGTTTAGAGTCTCCTATTTGGTATTTATTGCCTGGTATTAAAATAAACAAGTATGCAGTTTATCTAAAGTAAAAGTGTTTTTGGATTATATATGTTGGCTCCAAGACCAATATGTAAACAGCCCGTAGCACAAAAACAACAGCAACAAATTAAAATATCTTGGATAAGTAAAAGCCAGTTGTATGGGCTTTTTTTGGGCCTTTGCTGCGTGTCTTTCCCCCTCTCTCATACCCCTTTCCTGTCGGCCAACTGTCGAAAAAAACAAGACACTAGTGCCATAAAACTCAAAAAAGTTTGCCTCTGAGAAGATTACACTGGTCGTTCCACATCTGTGTGTCAATCTGGGCCCTATTTTTTTTTATAAAGAATAAAAAAATCTAAAATTTATCATGAATTTGTGTGTTTTTTTGTTCACATATTTGTATAGAAATCATCATACATGAAAAAAAGCAACAAAAATAAACAAATAAAGAAATTAATTGTCCTATGGGGCCCCCTATTTGCTTAATTCGCTTATGCTTTCAGCTCACCTTGACTCATATACACTCACCGGCCACTTTATTAGGTACCCCATGCTAGTAACAGGTTGGACCCCCTTTTGCCTTCAGAACTGCCTCAGTTCTTCGTGGCATAGATTCAACAAGGTGCTGGAAGCATTCCTCAGGGAGTTTGGTCCATATTGACATGATGGCATCACACAGTTGCCGCAGATTTGTCGGCTGCACATCCATGATGCAAATCTCCCGTTCCACCACATCCCAAAGATGCTCTATTGGATTGAGATCTGGTGACTGTGGAGGCCATTTGAGTACAGTGAACTCATTGTCATGTTCAAGAAACCAGTCTGAGATGATTCCAGCTTTATGACATGGCGCATTATCCTGCTGAAAGTAGCCATCAGAAGTTGGGTACATTGTGGTCATAAAGGGATGGACATGGTCAGCAACAATACTCAGGTAGGCTGTGGCATTGCAACGATGCTAAATTGGTACCAAGGGGCCCAAAGAGTGCCAAGAAAATATTCCCCACACCCTGACATCGCTACCACCAGCCTGAACCATTGATACAAGGCAGGATGGATCCATGCTTTCATGTTTTAGACGCCAAATTCTGACCCTACCATCCGAATGTCGCAGCAGAAATCGAGACTCATCAGACCAGGCAACATTTTTCCAATCTTCTATTGTCCAATTTCGATGAGCTTGTGCAAATTGTAGCCTCAGTTTCCTGTTCTTAGCTGAAAGGAGTGGCACCCGGTGTGGTCTTCTGCTGCTGTAGCCCATCTGCCTCAAAGTTCGACGTACTGTGCGTTCAGAGATGCTCTTCTGCCCACCTTGGTTGTAACGGGTGGTTATTTGAGTCACTGTTGCCCTTCTATCAGCTCGAACCAGTCTGGCCATTCTCCTCTGACCTGTGGCATCAACAAGGCATTTCCACCCACAGAACTGCCGCTCACTGGATGTTTTTTCTTTTTCGGACCATTCTCTGTAAACCCTAGAGATGGTTGTGCGGGAAAATCCCAGTAGATCAGCAGTTTCTGAAATACTCAGACCAGCCCTTCTGGCACCAACAATCATGCCACGTTCAAAGTCACTCAAATCACCTTTCTTCCCCATACTGATGCTCGCTTTGAACTGCAGGAGATTGTCTTGACCATGTCTACATGCCTAAATGCACTGAGTTGCCGCCATGTGATTGGCTGCTTAGAAATTAAGTGTTAACGAGCAGTTGGACAGGTGTACCTAATAAAGTGGCCGGTGAGTGTAGACTTTCTTTCTGTTACATTTTTTTTTACAAGTCTCTATGCTGTAGGCATAAGAAAAAAAAATCTAAATTGCTCTTGTGGACCAGAACAAAATATAAAGAAAAAAAGGTGTTAACTAAATATCAGTTGCCATTTAGCTTATTTTAAACAATCTACACACTGAAAAACAGTTTTTGGCATTTACTTACCGGTAGTCATATTAATTTAACAAAATTGCTACATGTTATCAGGCTAGGACATAATAAAATTGTGTTAAAAAAGTAAATATGGTTAAATAAATGCCAAAAGCAGTGTCATTATTTTATCAGTGGAGCAATATTTTAATAAAATATAATTTAAAGCTATTTATTACTCTACCAGTTAGTGTCAGAAATGTCAGCTCACTTTTCTGGAAAAACAAAAGCTCATATTTGTTTTTGTTTTTTTGTTTTTTTTTTAGGGGGGCGGGCAGTGTTTGTCTAACAAAAAAGCTGTGACTGTTCTAGAGTTTAGCAGTAAATCTGTGTCATGTTTTGATCAAAATGCAATAAGAAAACAAGAGCAGAGATGTTTTTATCTACATCAATCAATTGGATGGATTATTACCTTCATCCAGGATCAATACATTAGATTACATTAGATTTACTGTTAAAGAGCTTGTGTGTTAGTGGGGGGGCGGGGGGGGGGGATCTGTCCCTCAGTGGTTATTGTGTCTGTAAAAGTGGGACAGAGGGAGAGAGAGAGAGTTGTTTGGATACACTGATGGGCCACGTGACTGATCTGGGTGTACTGTTAATCCACCGGAAATAAAACCCTCCTCCTTCCTCTTCATATTTAGAACCGACCTGCAGTCTGCAATGAATGAAAACACCTCCTAGAGACCGAAGCAACTCTTTGCTGCAGAGTTAGTGAAGCAGCCGATGCGCCACTATGACGTCCATCCCTGCTCTTCTCGCTCTCAGTCTAACATCAGCACTCCTCAGCTGCTCAGCCGCACAATCCTCCATCCGCTGCATATGGACCAAAGTTTCTCCTAACGGCCAAGTCCACGTCAGCTTCCTCCGTGGGGATCCACTCGGGACCCCCCTGCGCCTGTACCACAGCGTGTGGTCCGGGGAGCGCGCGCTGTCCGGGTGCACCTGGAGCGATGACGCAGCGCTCATCCAGAGCTATGCGTCTCTTTGCCGGGGGCGCACGCTGGGATTTTCCGACCGTGCGGCTAAAATATTTGATCTGGACTCTTTGCTTGACGCGGATGAGTGCGTCTCTCTGGCCTCTCCGAGCTTTGAGGGGGAGAAACGGGGGAGACACGTGAGAAGCCTCGGGGATCAGAGCGAGGATGAAAGGTCAGAGGTCAGGATACGCACGCGAGTAAAACGCGGCTTTATTGTTCCTGGGACTCTGTGGTGCGGCTCAGGCAACAAAGCCCCATCATATGCAGATTTGGGTGAGTGATTTTTTTTCTGCACTAAAAAAACCCACAATATTCATTCTTTTAGTACCTATATTATCAGATTATTTACACTTTAGAAATGCTGTTAAAACTATATAGCAATGGCTGGGGTAACTTATTAAAAACCAGCAGGGGCCGAATAAACAAAACAACAACCAGTAAAGGTCTGGAGACATTATAATCTGTTACTTTAAACAGAATTTAACACAGAAATAAAATTTGGTTTTTATGCATCCATGTTATACATTGAATTTTTAAATATATATAATAAAGAAAAAATGTCCATTTTAAAATCTAAAGTGTTTTTTTTTAAGTAGAGAACAACAATCATTCAGTTTGGTATACAGACAATTTCCTGATTCACATATTTTATAAAACAGCAGCAGCAGCAACCCAGACTGACAGCAGCTCATTGGTTAATTTTAATCATGTGTAGCCAGGAGCCGGACGCTCTGGGGGGCTTTACCGTATTAACAGGAGAAACGGCGCAAGTGAAATTAGACGCTGTCCTCAGACAACATACAGTAATTTATAAATGTTTTAAATCAGGTTGGGCCCGGATTAGCCAGCAGGTGTGTCTGGATCCTGACCTCTGGTCTACGGTAAAGTCTTATTGAAAAAAAAAATCTATTTTATTTTGGGTAAAACTTAGTTTGGGGCTTTTATGAGACAAAAACGTTTTCCTGAAATCCTCTAAGCTCTTATTAAGCTGATCATTAATCAGCTAATAGATGCATGGTCAGGTGACGAGACCTCTGACATAGCGATGGGATGTTCGGCTCCTTTCAGAGAGCCTACTATTTTCACTCAGCTCCTTTTTGACCAATTTATCTGAAAGTTGAACAAAAATAAATCAGCTGCAGTACAATTTATTTAATAAACTAAAATGTCCATCAAATCACAAAACTAATACATTTAAAATGCAATTACTTTGAGGAAACTGAGTTTATTTAAAGTTGTAAAGTAAAGAAATTATTTGTATATAAAGACAAGCAAAAAGTATTAAATAAAAATAAAAAAACAAGCATAATAACATCAGTAAAGTGTAAGAGTATTAATATGTTAAGAGGGGCTTTTGCAAAAATCTGCAATTTAACAAATCGCAGTTTTCAAATTGCAGGGGCATTCAATTTTGGTAATGTTACATTCAGTAACATTAAGGTGGCCAATTCTATCTCACTCCAGCCCTTTAGGTGGCAGTAATACATTTAAAGTGGGTTTGATGCCACAAATAAGGAGTGAGAAGCATCCAATTACCATGCAGATCTATCCATGCACGTTGAAGTAAGCAGTTTCCAGACAAAAGGTGACAATAAAGTCCTGCAACAATGGACTCTGAACATGCAAGCTTTAAAGGCCATGAGAAAACTCTTAAAGGCCATGAGAAAACCCTGGAGTGACACATTTACATGTTTGTGGTTAATGAAAAGGAAAATAGATTAGATCGCATTTGCAATACTGGTTAAAAATATTAAATATCGTGCAGCCCTAGTAGAAGTATTATTATATTTTTGAACATATCCATTTTCCAGCAGCAGTATAATTAATAATTTATCTTTTTATAATTTTTTGTCCAACAATTCTGTTTTGGTCTAAATTGCGATTTTTTATTTCAAATAAAAGCTTTTGTCATTTCATTTCGTAAATATGTGGATGTTTCGCTTCTTTCATGAATTTGGAAGTTGAGTCCATTGTTGCAGGACTTTAGTGTAACATTTTTTGAAAAGTTATGAATTCTATTCTCATGCTTGGATCTGCATATTAAAGGAATAGTACACCCAAAACATGATTAGCCTTCATTTTCTACTCACCCCCATGCTGAACAACACTCTGGAGTACTTTTTTGATATCTCAAATGCATCTGGAGATCTGGGAGGCTTCTTGCTGTCTGCTGACATTCAAATAATGGAGGTCTATGGCGCCCGAGGCAGAAAGGTCCATAAAAGTCCACAAAAAACGTGTCAATATTCCTCCATACTGCTCGTCCAATGTATTCCAAGTGTCCTGAGTGGGTAGCGTCCATAATTTACTCGAAACGAAGTCATTTAGAATGTTTTTAGAGCATAAACAGTAGTGTATAGGAGAAAAGAAAGAAACAACGAACTAAAAATGTCTGAGGTCTTCAGTGTTGAGGAAGAGCATGAGTTCTTTGCCGAGCTGAATGCGCACTTTCGTCTGGTTTGGTCTGCCGCGGTTTCCGTAGACTCGTGAACGCGCTTTTAGGAAATCCTATACACTACTGTTTATGCTCTAAAAACATTCTAAATGATTTTGTTTCGAGTAAATTCTGGATGCTACCCACTCAGGACACTTGGAATACATTGGACGAGCAGTATGGAGGAATATTGACACGTTTTTTGTGGACTTTTATGGACCTTTCTGTCTCGGTCACCATAGACCTCCATTATTTGAATATCAGCAGACAGCAAGAAGCCTCCCAGATCTCCAGATGCATTTGAGATATCAAAAAAGTACTCCAGGGTGTTGTTCAGCATGGGGGTGAGTAGAAAATGAAGGCTAATCATGTTTTGGGTGTACTATTGCTTTAATAGCAACTCTGTTTTCCCTTCCTTTTGGCTGCCAACCCACCATAAGGGTTTTACCGCCACCTAATGGCTGGAGTGAAAAATCTACAGCCTTGCCATTATTAAATGAGAATAAGTACCCCCTGCAATCTGAACAGTTTTCAATTAGTTAAATTATGATTACATTACAAATTTACTGAAATTTGCAGCCCTATTCAAAAACTTTATTGAACTAAAACTCAGAAGGTTATTTCAGTGATTAACTAATCTGACAATATTTTTTTCCATTAATCAATTAATCTAAGAAGAAAGACTTAGACTTTTTTAGACTTTGAAGAAATAGCCTACTTTTAGTAAGTTTACATTTCTAAATACATAAAAGTTTGGAATGTAGAAACGAAGGACAAATTTGTGTAAAATATATAGGCCTATATATCTCTATCAACATATATATATATATATATATATATATATATATATATATATATATATATATATATATATATATATATATATATATATATGTGTGGATATATATATCCATTGAATTAAGTTATGTTTTTTTGGGTTATTTTCGTTTGTAAATGACTTAAATGATAAAATAGCCTGAAAATGTTTTAATTGAGTTTAAAAAGGAATTTATTGAATATAAAAATAATAATTCATTGAATAAAAAAAATACGTGTTTCTGCATGTGCTGAAGTTTTCTCTGGTGTACCAGGTGACTGCACTGGAAAAAAATCAAAATGTAGATAAGAGACATTTTGCCAATGGAACAAGACAATTTACACTTGAAATAAGAAAACACAATTGCATTGTCGTATTTCAAGTGCATATTATCTAATCATTTTATTTTAAGAATAAAAATACTCATTCCTTTGGCAAACTTGCTCATTTACTTCCTCAAATTAAGGGTAAATACACTTAATTTAAGAAATTTTTACTTATTTCTAGAAGGTTTTTGCAGTGTTGCTTCTCTAATTTCCATTTCATTATCATTCAAATGTCTTTTTTTAAAGATAAACTGATTTTTTTACCTCTCCGTACTTTTGATTCTTGCAGGAGTTTTTTCCGACACGGACAGCTGCTGCAGGGAACACGACCAGTGCAAACACACCATCCTGTCCTTTCAATCTGAGTTTGGCGTTTTCAATAGCAACATCTTTACCATGTCTCACTGCGACTGCGATAACAAGTAAACTGCCCCTCTGCCTAATAAAATCTGACAGTTCCTGTGGTGTTGTTTGTTTCGTCACCATGCCAACGCTCACTGTGCATTTAAGGTTTCGCAGCTGTCTGAGGACGGCGAATGACAGTATAGCTGATGTCGTGGGATATACCTTCTTCAACCTGTTGAAGATGCACTGCTTCACCTTTTCACCCCGCCTCCAGTGTGCTGAGAGGAACTGGTTTGGAATGTAAGTGTTTATGCTGTTCTTATTGGGACATTGTGGTTCAATGTTATTCCAAATTATTACAACATTTAAAATGATTCCTTCCTATCTCTAGATTATTATTTGGTTTTAAGATATTTCAAGAAGTAAATGATTGAAAAACAGTTGAAGACACATTTGGACAAACTGTTTTTTTGTAAGTTTTTGGGCCACCCACACTTAATGAGTAAGGTAAAAAAAAAAAAAAAAAAAACTTGGGTTAAATGTCCATCCTCATGTTTGTTTTAAGTACCAGCTCTGCCTGTCCTTAAACAAAGAAAATACTTGGAATCAAGATGACGTGTGGAGGTAATGTGTGCTCTACTGGTTAGAGAGATGGGTGTTGGTAATTTTCCTAGATGAGGATTTGCAGACAATTCAGTTTAGTTTATTTCTATAGCACCAGTTCACAACACGTCATCTCAGGACACTTCACAGTTCAACCAGACCACACGATCAGATTGATTTAAAGTTTTCTATCTATGGAAAATCACTTGATTGAATCGACTTGTTGACTCGAAGGCAATCCCTCACACTAAGCATGCTTGTAGCGACAGTGGAGAGGAAAACTCCCTTTTAACAGGAAGAAACCTCCAGTAGAACCAGGCTCAGTGTGAGCGGCCATCTGCTGAGGCCGACTGGGGTTCAAGGAGACAGAAGTCCAAGTCCATAGGCGGCCCCATCCAAGAAACACACAGCCAGGCAGACGAGCTCAGAGCCAGCTCCCATGTCAGAGGATGAAAAGAGCACATCCAGCCAGTCACAGTCAGAGAAACAGGACTACACTGAAAAACATGACAATCTCCAAGATCTATAAACAAAGGTGTTGATGGCAGCAGGACAGCAGATACTACTCTCCAGGATGGAGTCACAGCCAAACACGAACAGACAGTAGATATGTTGACTCTATAGCAATCCCTCACACTAAGCATGCATGCAGCGAAAGTGGAGAGGAAAAACTCTAGCTAGACCTAATGAAGTAGTATTCACATAATAAGACCTGGCTTTCTTTTTCTTCTTTTTTTTTTTTTTTTTTTTGCTTACAGCCTTTTAAATATTCACAGATTTTAATGCCAGGTGCAGCTTTGGCTATTTTTAAAATGAAATGATAATTGCTGTGTTTTTAACGCAGCACCGTTTTCGAGGTTGGTTCCAAAGTTGTGAGAGGCTGTAAATTGTAATTTTATACTTTAGAGCGGAGGTCTTCAACATGGGGTCCACAAGCCCTAGGGGGTTCACAGAGGTACTGCACGGGGGTCTCGACAGTTTTGGTTGATTAGACTTTTTTTTAATATTCCCCCGTAGTTTTTTCCATAATTGAAATCTTTAAATACACATGAATTCAACACACTGTAGTAAACAGATAAATGGATTCAGAAGATGTCTTTCAGTCATCAATGCACACATTCAGCAACACACAGGAGCGCTTTCAAGCTGGGCACCGTTTTATTCACAACACCTGTCCCATCAACCAGGAATCAAAAATACTTCAATAATCCCAGGGAGAAATATCTTTAGATACATGTCTCCATATGTAATAGAGTGACTATAGACTATATGATCATAATTTAAAATGGTGTTAACAGTAGACAGTATGTACAACTGTTTACTTGGGTAAATATAAGTACAACTGGAAAACAAAACACATTTTATTTCCTTGTTTACAACAGAAACTTTGTCAAAATTCCAGGCAAAAATAATTATTTTTTTGCATGTTTTTCCCATCTGGTGACTCATAGGTGTAAAAAGACTCAGATGGCGCTTTACGCTGACGTCCATTCGCCCACGCAGTATGAGTCGGCACGCTCCGAAGACGAGGGCTGCATGAACGGCTCCTGCTCTTACATCAACTCCACTGCACCTGCAGAACTCCAGGAAACAAACGCCTCAGATCCACGCCTCCTCTCCACCACTGCAGCCACATCCACGGTCCCTACAGCTTCCTCCGCTCCGTCCATCACTGATGGTACAAACTTCTCTGCTGGTAAAGCATCAATGGATGCTAGAGAAAGTGTTACAGAGAACAATTTACCTGCCAGACATCGCGCTGGGACTCAGCAGTACTCCAATTCTACAGGTAGATTATTTAATTATTTGAAGTGTAATAATTTAGCTCAGTCTGTCACTGAAATTGAATATTTATATCGTTTTCACAGAGGAGGAGAGCTCTTGCACTATATACAAGGAACTTGATGAGTGTAAGAACAAGATTCTACCCCAGCAGAGAAAATATGGCCTCCACAACACAGAAACGAAGATGCTTTATCACTGCAACTGTACAGCAAAGTGAGTTAAGCTCAAGTCTTCAAGTTTTTTGCAGTCCAAACAATTCTTCTTTTTGCACTTTGCTGCGTTTAGCTCCACCCATCTTCCTACAAACTTTGACATTTTCTCTCTGTCTAAAAACAGGGTTTCACAGGGTCATCAAAAATCTTTAAAAGTCATTAAACTATTATTTATTTAAATGAAAGCCTTAATTGGCAGTAAAATTCATTAAAGGTGATTATTGTAGATTATCATTGTTTATTAAAAACTATTTTGCCAGATATATTATAGTATGATATATTTGCATGGAACAGCTTCCAGGTTGATATATATATTTTGTTGGAATGTCTATATCTATATCTATGTATATATATATATATATATATATATATACAGTATATATATATATATATATATATATATATATATATATATATATATATATATATATATATATATATATATATATATATATATATATATATATATATATATATATATATATATATATATATGTATAGATATATATGTATGTATAGGTACCTGTACTGGTCACTCTCTACAGTATAATGCAGTAGTAGTTATGGTTTAAAAAATGATGAAAAATGATCATGTTAAAGGAATATAATGAAAAGTATGACAGATATGAACCTTTTTATTGAGCGGCTGCTTAACCAAATCAGATGTAGGAGATGTTTCATAACACAAACTAAACTGGACCACAGGCAGTGTAAACATTCACCAGCTTATGTAAGAAACAGTGGCCCTTTGAAAGGACTTTACGTCTTTCAATATTAGCATTATGTCACAGTAACACAAATGGGAGGGTTATCTGTTTGTCAGCCTGCTTAAACAGACTGTTTTCTTTCCTTTTTTTAATGGTATCTGCAATGACATCTGACATTTGCTTCTATGTCTTTCTAGACTGTTCCACACTGTGGCTCAATGGAGACAGCTGAGCAAAGAGCATGTTCTTCTGCTTAGACATGTGGCTAAATCCTGCTTCCTGCCACAGGACTGCGCAGCAGGCAGCAAGTCAGTGCTTATATTAATAGATACGGCTTTATTTTGTGTAAAATATGATATAACTGTGTGATACATTACAGCAAAAGTTAAAAAACAATCCTCTGGACTTTGTTTCCAAGTTTGAAGACGTTTCGCTTCCCATCAAGGAAACTTTTTTAATTCAAAATGTCAGGAATAGCATTGAGTTTGAGGTTTTATACAGTAGCCCATCAAAACCTTGCTTTTGCTTTGAGAACATGCTATTTGAAACATATGAACGGGTCCACCCCTTCAGAAGGGGGGTCGTTTGGCTCCTTTTGTTAGCCTGCAATGCCCCATACCTGTCTGACCGGGCTGAATAGGTGAGGTCTTCTGTTCCCCTGTAAAGGGTTGGGGTTGCAATGATAGATGCTGGGCTACTGTATAAACGCCATTATACAGATACAGAAATTTTAATAGAAAAGACATACATTATTTGTTCTACCTTTTGTCCCTCTCTTCTTGTCTCTTTTCTTGTTGTTTCTTGATGTTTTCTTTTTCCCCTTTTTTTTGACAATGTGCTCAGCTGACATTTCATGCTGTTTCAAAAGGAATGAAAGATTTTTTCTAATCACTACTTAGAGGATCGATCCTTCCTGTGTTCCAAAAACGCTACGGTAAAAGTAAATAGAACAGTCTTTTTACTGTAGGCCAGCCTTGATCTGACGTATTTGGACAAAGACATTGCTGAGCAAACATGGCTGCTACGGTTTGTCAATTTTACAGAAAGATCTGTATTTCACTCGCGCCCTCAACCATGTGTCTGTGTTTTCATCTCAGAGGAAGAAGAAGGATCCTTGTTTGGGCCTGCCCACTAAGGGATTTGCCCACGACGGCCGACTGAATTTCAAACATGTTTGATTTTCTCCCGACCTCACGATTTCTGTTCGGGAGGTGGTCGTGAGTGGTTGATCGGCCCTTGTTAACGTTACACAACGCACGACGCACAATCAGGCTGAAAGTCAGCTCGATTGAAAAATTCCAGCACGACTTGAAAGTCGTCCCGAAAAGGGCAAGAAAATCGTACAGTGTATGTGTTCTCATTTCAGAGGGCCCCATGCCTTCCTTTGCCAACACTCCCAAATTTCTTAAATCCGCCCCTGAATAGCCTTAAATGGTAGGAAAACGCTTCCTTGTATCCTTAGACTGTACCGGCGGGCTTTCCTTTTCTTTAATTTCTTCTGCTACTCATGCCCCCAAACCACCCTGGGTTATAGATATTCAACCCCACATCAAGGTTATTACTGGATTTATAATATATTCACCAAAAGAAACAAAACTTTACAGTTTCTTCATGAAGAAACTGTTTCTTCCAAGAAAAAAAGATGGAAAATCCTTGAATAAGCCGCCATCCAGTAGAAACTTCCAACTAGTCCATAAAAATGGTGTGATTAAAATCTATATGTGTTTTAACAAAGCTTTGACATTTTTCCATTGTGCTGGTGAAGGTTCTTAGTCATCCAGGTCATAGTCATTCCAAAAAAGTAAAAAAACAAAGATGTTTCGCTTCCCATCCAGGAAGCTTTTTCTATTCAAAATGTCAGAAATAGCATTGAGTTTCAGTTTGGTCCACTCTATAAAGCCTCAAATTCAACTCTATTAGTGACATTTTGAACCGAAAAAGCTTCCTGGATGGGAAGCGAAATGCTTCAAACTTGAAAACAAAGTCCAGTAAATGGTTTTTTTTTTGTTTTTTCTTTTTGGGGAATTTTCCTGCATAAAAAAATCCCACCTTTTTAGGAGAAACGAATTTCCAAAATGTGGCAAAAAGAAAGGATGCTAAATGACTGGCAGCTGGTGATATAAATGCTTCCAATCAGCACCTTGAGGAAAGATCCAGATTCTCTAGAGTTACGGACTTGCTAGTTAAAAAAAAAAAATACTGCATTTTTAAAATTCTGCATTATTAAAATAGGAAAGTTACAGAGATACATGTTACTGAAAAAAGTTTTCTGCTTTTTTCCACAGCTGCACCGCAGTCCTGGTGAAAGCAGAACCTCCTCAGCTGCTTCAGAGGAATGTCGCACAAGTGGAACAACAGCGCCATCTACAGATCGTGAAGCAGAAGGTCAGAAGGCCAGAGATGAGGAAAGAAAAGAGAGAGGACAGACCTTTGAGGCTTTACAGGATGTGTCTCAGAATGACTCGACCCAAACAAATGAAAAAGACCAAAAAAAGAACCCAAAACGCACAAACTAGAAACATCCAAGCCACACAGGTCAACTGAATGGGACTGTAACAGAGCGGGACAGAAATGGGACATTGTGAAATAACTCATACAGGCAACCTTATAGAAAAGTGGAAAATCACTTTTTTTTTAGTTCTTTTCTTTCTCAGTTCACAAAGATTATTTATTTATCTTTTTATTGGACTCAATCTTAAAGTTATAGTTTTCTGTCCGCACAGTAAAAGTTAACCTCAAAACCAGTCAGATAAATCACACATTTACTATCCTCGGTAAAGCCAAGGCTTCATATTTCTGCCTTTAACAGTCAGATTGGTTCAGTTTTCTATCAAAGGAAAACCAGCTGATTGCATCGACTCATTTCCTCGCAGACAATCCCTCACACTAAGCATGCTTGTAGCGACAGTGGAGAGGAAAACCACCCTTTAACAGGAAGAAACCTCCAGCAGAACCAGGCTAAGTTTTAGTTCAGACGATTGAAAGGAAACAGAAGAAGCTGATAAAACCTACAGGCAGAAGATGTCTGAGGCAACACAGATATAGCTTGACTTTTGTTACATTATTGTTGCAAGAAAAGAGCGTGTTTGTAAATGGAAATAAAAAACAAAAAGCCATCCAGAAATTAACAAAAAAAACAACTAAACTTCTTAATCAAGATTTTTTATTTTCAAATGTTACTTTTCAAACTTTTGTTTTTCAGAGTCTCAGTTTCACAAGTAGCTTTTTTATTTCATTAAACAGATCACTTTTTTTTTTTTACTTCAAATCTTTTACAAAGACTTTCTGCAGTATGCAGAACAATAGAAATGCATCTTTGCTCCTCATGCCAGCGCTGCCAGAGGTTCAGAGGATTTGATCTGTAAAACACATTTAGAAAAGAATCCATTTGTAAAACCCAGCATAAAAAATAGAAATTTGAAAATAATTCTGAAAAAATGTATTAGAAAAATGGACAAAATTAAATAGGAGCTTTTTTTGAAAGAAATCAAAATAATAAAAAAAGGAAATAATTCTGATAAAATAGCTGACAAATAGATGTTTGTCAAAGTTTAATTTCTAAATTGCATTGTTTCAAATTCCCCAAATATTTATATTTCAAATTTTGTTTAAATTTTTATTTGAAATGTGTTCTTAGCTTGCAACAATAGAGGAGCATATTTAACTCCACAATGACAATTATCTTTTTTTTCCATAGAAATACATGTTATTACGCCTTAAGACCACTGGAGGGCAGTGATGTCCAAACTTCGGTAACTCAGTGTTGTTTTATTCATAAATAATATTATTTCCCTCAACATAATGAGGGTATTTTTAAATAAAAGGAAAATAAAATAATAAAAAAAATTTATTTTTACAAAAAAGGTTTTATTTGAAATTCCTTTAGCTGGCTGCTGATTTGAAAACTGGCAGAATTATTTCACAATGTCTTAAAGTACTGAAACGTATTAGATTTTGCACTAATATATATATATATTTATTCTGTGAACCTTTGAAACATTGTGGAAGTTAGTTAAAAATTTTTGTTTTTTTTTTTTTAATCTATGAAATGTGTTTTTTTTCCCTGAACGGAAGGAAACATTTTCAAATCCATGTGTGAAAGATTATCAAATTGCAGAGAAGAAAATGGCCGTTTGAGTTTTGGATTGCTTATCCTGCTGCTTAGAGTTGGTCTGAAAATGTAAAGAATTACATTCTTTAAACACTGCGCCTCCTTAGCTGAGAAATAAGGCCTCCATACGACCCGTGTATGGAGGCCTTAATCCTCGATGCAGCCGACCCGGGTACGAATCCGACCTGTGGGCCTTTGCCTCATGTCCCGCCCCCTTTCTCATACCCCCTTTCCTGTCAGCCTGCTGTCAAAAAAACAGCCACTAGTGCTGTAAAAACAAACAAAAAAAAGAATTACAGCAGCTCCTAAAGGTGTTCACACCCTGTTACGACACCAAGTTGATAGTGTGAAAAAATAAAACCATTATAAATGCTCTCAGAACCTTTTCTATTTAGAATCTGACATTTAAAAGTATAATGGAGTATTAGGGCCAGGCTAGAGATGATTTTTTCTATTACGAGAATAAAGTAACATTACAAGAATAAAGTTGTAATTTTACGAAAGTGTAGTCATCATACAGCAGCCCGTTTCAGAAAGAAAGCTTGGAGCTCCGACCAGCAGATGACGGCCGACCAGCTCCACCAATCAGCAACCTGAGCCCACTTTGACCTGCTGCCCAATTTGATGCTGCTGCTAAAAGATTTCCTTATTTCTCAAACCAGAGCCAAAGTATAACTTCACATAATGCTCCGCATTCCTCATTTTAGGGAAGAAAGTGCTTCTTGTAAGAGTTGTCATAAAATACATCTTGTTTCATAATTTCACAACTTTATTTGTGTAATTTCATTACTTTATTCTCATAATTGAACGACTTTATTATCGTAATTTTATGATTTCATTCTTGAAATAGAAGGAAAAAAATCTCTAGCCTGGCCCTAATACGAAAGGAAATAAATTTATTAAAAAAAAAACGTTTCTCTTACACTGAAATTTTTTGGTGAAACCTGGCTGTTTCCTCATCAGCGCAGGGCCCTAGCAGCGTCCCAGATCCTCTTTCTTTTGTTGTTTTGCTGGATGCTGTGTCTCTCTATGCTGATTTCTATTTTTCTACTCAGGATCTTCAAATTCTGGACCAAAACTGGCTCCTCTTTGGAACCAATTAAAGCAAACCCACAACATGATGCTGCCACCACCTTATTTTTCTCAGCTCCTCATGTTCTTTCTGAGATGCTCTGGATAGTCTTTTTTTTTTTTTTTTTTACACTTTAAGGTAGCATTAGTTAAATTTGTCTTCTTCTGATTTATCAGGCAACCTCTCATCTCACAGGGTTTTGGAAAGCTTTATCCAGGTTTTGATGGGTTCTTTATTTATAACTTTTTTTGGCTCCTTAACCTTAGTATATAAAGAATACATGACATTTCCTTCAACCAGTTCTTTTTGAACATTTCCTGCAACTCCTTCAGTGTTGCTAATGCCCTGTTTTTTTAAAAGCACCATGGTAGAGTAGTCTTCTACTGTTTTACAGTAAGATACTTTTAAATCTATCAGTAAACTATGGCTTCAGCTAAATGATGCAAATGACAAGAGAAAAACCTGCAAAGGCTCCTAAACTGAAGACTAACAGCTGAAACCGGGTCAGGGATGCTTTAGTAACATAATAATGTATGGATGGACATGTCTGCGAACTGGGGATTTTACTCATAAATTTGTTTGTTGTTCAGTTACAGTAGAAAATGTCATATTATTGTAAAAAAAAAAGGTTTGGAAATAATTAATCATGCTTTAATTACATCAGAAATGTGTTGCTCACCTCTGTAGAGCCACTATGTCTGTCATCCAGCCCTGAAGCACACGATGGACGTCTCTGTATGCAACATGTTGTTTAAAACTGATGTACATTTTGTTTTTGGTGGAGCAGTTAACTAGGGAGAAAAATGTAAATACCTGTACATAGAAAAATAAATACTTATGTTGAAAACTCTTCATTCAAGGTTTTTATGTATGCAAACACACACGGAATATGATCCCAACTGTTGTACAGTAAATCTAAAATATGGTGTACAACATTTTTTAAAAACTTTATTTGTTAAAACAAGTTGAAGCAAAAAGGGAGAAAAGCTGTTTGGAAAAAAAAAGGAACATATAAGCTAAGTGCTGCAGGGATTATCTGGAGCACATGTGTGTAAACAAGATATTTTTTCAATCTCAATGGGGCTTTTCTGGTTAAGTAAAAAACATAAATAAATAGGGATAAATGGGCATCTCAGAAAATTCACCCAGTGGTCAGTTAAGATATCTGTTAAAGATCATGACAAACATTCCTGAAAATATTATGGCAGCATCACTTCTGAATCCATTGCACAATTTCTGGAACACCTGAGTAGAGATAGGAGGGATTAAATAACATTCTGCACGAAGCAACAAACAAGTGGCAATGATAGCCTCTGAGCCGCGCTGCCTCCCAGTCATCCATGAACTCAGCTGCAGTTTTTTAAACTAAAATCTGATGGAATCAGCTTGAAATGGCTAATCAACAACAAGATGCCAAGCATGTCTCCAACTGTTAGATACATTAATTAAAGCCCCCATCCAAACCTAATTCAATCTTATAAAGAATCTAGCGCGTTTCCAATAAGGGAAACTTTTAATATTAGTTATAAATTATTCAACTTTCTGTACCCACACAGTTTTGATCATGATTTCATGTAAACTGTTAACAGACTACATCCTGAAACGTTTTTTTTTCAGAAAGATATATGATGTACACACTGGAAAAGTGGAGTAACTGGATGTAAAAGAGACATCTTGCCAATAGAACAAGACAATTTACACTTAAAATAAGAAAACACAATTGAATTGTCTTATTTCAAGCGCATTTTATCTAATGATCTTATTTTAAGTGTAAAAATACTAATTCCATTGGAAAACTATATCCAGAACCTATTCAAATTAAGGGTAAATACGTTTAATGTAAGAAATTTTTACTTATTTCTAAATCAGTTTTTCAGTGTATGTAGTTAAATTGGCTTCATTATTGTTGCAAGCAAAGAACCTTTTATAAATGAAAACTTTGAGGTAAGAAAATGTGATTTGAGAATATAAATGTGAAAATAACCCATTGTATGAAGAGAAAAAAAAAATCTGAGATGAAAACTCTTAATGAAAAAACTTTTTAATCCAAAAAAGTGACTTTGCTGTTTTCTTAGATTTTATTCTTTTCATCATATTTTAGGGGTTTTCTTAAAAAATATTATATTTAACCTTTTCAAATGTACTTTCCTTTTTTTTTTTCTCAGATGAAGTTGCCTTCTATTCTAATTATGATTTACATTTGTTTCATTTCTGGGGGCGGGCTTTCCTCTGGACTTAAGATGCATTTCTATTGGTCTACATAGATGTAAGCAACAACATTATTATGGGTCACTTTGTGCTTAAGAGAAGGCATTTGTAATAGGCTTAAAGTGAACAGATCTGTGAAATTAATGCAACTTGTAAACCTTAAAGAGAAATGTGAAATAATAACATTTAAAAAATATAACCTGTGAAAAAAATTTTAATGAATTACTGCAACATTTTAACTTCCCTTTGGGATTGATACATATTTTTGAATTTGAACTGAATTAAAAAGAAATCAAGTATAGAAAGAATTATTTGAAAAATTAAAACAAAATAAAAAAAAGAACAAAGATACTCTCCAAGCCTTTTTTTTTTAGGAAGTTTTTCAAAATTAAATTTCTACAATTTTTTTCAAATTCACATTTAGAAAACAAAGATGCAACAAAGTTTACTCCATAGAAATGCATTTTCAGAGACTAATTAAAATGATATTTTAGCCTTAGTGATGTTTTCGTTTTGAAATACATGAAAAGAAAAGATGGAGTTGATGCAGAAAAGCCTTCACTATAAAACTTTTTAGTTTACATGAAAAGAAACAGATATTAGATGAAAATCATCAAATGAAACAAGCCTTGCATTAATTAGTAGAATAGATCCAACTCCTCAGTGCTTACTCCATAGGACCACCAGAGGGCGCACACTCTTCGTTTTTAAAACTGACATTTTAACCCTTTATGGGGCAAGTTTCCATTTTTGTGCATTCCCCTTACAGATACAGTCCCCCTCGTCCATCAGTGAGGTCTAGTAGCACAAGATCTATATCCAGCCATTCAGCAAAGATGCTGCTACAAGGCTGCACATCTTATATTGGCATTTGACCAATTAGATGAGCCCTTGAATGAAAAAAAGATAAAAAGCGAATTGAAAAGTTAAAAAGTAAAGCAAAAAAAGTTAATAAGCCTAGTTAATTATATTTAGGTTTATAAACTAAAAAATGTAAGTGACAGTATCAGCATGAATGCCTCTAAGGTTTTGTTGGGGAAAAAAAAAAGTGTTTTTTTTTTGTTCATGAATTTCTTATAGAAGCACTTTTGTTATTTTTCTTAATATATTCAGGCAAGTCGGCGTTTCTTGTTATTACATTAACATTAATTTTTGCCATCAAAATATCCATATTTTTTAAAGTTAAAAAGATAATAGGGTCTTGTCCTGGATTCCAATAACACTATTGGTTTGTATTTCACTGAAGGCCCTATAAAGGGTTTAAAGCATATTTGTTCAAAAGAAAGCTTGTAATAAAAAAAATAATAAAAAAAACATTTTCCCAATCGATATCGTGGTGCCAAAGGTTTATGTACACATCATCAGCATGAGAAAGAGGTAATAAAGTATTTTCTTAAATTGTTATTTAACCAGGGGCGGAGCTAGATGGGGGGCCAGGGGTGGCCTTAGCCAATTATTGGCCATCTCTGTGGTCACCCTACTCTTTATTTCCCTCTAATACAGATGGTGGCAACAGTAATAATCTCAATTGGAATATTCAAAACATTTTAATATATTAACAATTACTTGACAACAAAAACAATGTGGTTAATTATGCATGCCATTTTATAACATTAAAGATGATAAATAAAGAATTAAAGCAGAAATAGATTTTGTGTTTTATGGGGTAAAGAGAAACTTATGTGTCTCTGCAAATCATCTAGAAGTCTTCAGTGAAATCATAGATAAGTAATAATTTTTATAAAAACGTATTAAATGATAGATTTATATAGATATTAGTACTTGTAAATATAAATTTTATGCAGAATGATTATTGATAAAAGTAGGTAAGTAACTCAAACCTGAAAAAAATGTTATCCAGTATACCTTTTATTTAGAAAGCACGGATGTTTGAATATATTCGTCTATTTGTCAGCAAAGGCTGTAGGAAAGTATAGCTTGTCTTTATTTAGAGAATATGGATGTTTTACTTGTTAAATTTCTTGTTGGAACAGTGTAGATTTAGCGTGAGGTTTTGGTACCTAGCTAGACATTCTAGATGGTTGTAGATCTACTAAATAAGTAGATTTTTTTATGCAAATAAAAAGTTTCCATTGATTTTTATTTTCTTTCTTAACCAGCGAGTTGATGAGTTATTGATAAAGTAAGTCCCTGCAGGTGGAGCCTGTATTCCTGTGCATTGAGTCTCTATCAGGTAACTCCATCCTCTGTGACGTCATGGGCAGTAATTGAATCCTGGAGCGCAGCGGATCTCCGCCTCTCAGCGGACCAACATTCCGCTATGGGGAGGATCGGCTGCGGGGAACATGGCGCATTCACTGCCGATTAACTTTCTCTGGGAAGAGAAACAACCCAGGAAGCAGAAAGTTTGGAGAGAGGCCGCTTAAGGAGCGCTGGAGCTGATCCACAGCCAAGGGGAGAAAGTCCTGCGCTGGTTTGGATGGTTTTCCTGCTCTGCCTCAGTTCTGCTGCTGCTGGATCAAAGTTTAGAGGATTTACCGGAGATGGAAAAGCCCAGAGCCAGGAAAGAAAAGGTGAGAGAGATGGAAACAGAAAGGCTGCAGCGTCATCAGCAGGAGGGAGAGAGATGGAGAGAAGTTTGCTGGAGCTTTGGAGGAGAACAGGTTCCTCATAAGGTGGAGACATCCTGATTTATTACAGAACAGACACAGGCGGTCCAAGGCTGGATGGGGCCCCTGAACGGGGTGGGGGGTCTTTATATTATTTATTTTGCATCAAACATAAACTACAGTTACAAAATAGGAATCACTGTTTAAAAGGCAGATTATTCTTCTGCATCCACATACATCAACTGTGGCCTTGGTCTGGTCGTGAACCAGTTTTGCTGGGATGCTTCTGCACCATCAGTCGGGAATTTCTAGGGACGCACAGCAGTTTCCCGCCAAAGTGCAAGGGGGAGCCCATTGGCTCGAGAACTTCGGCATCGCTGGCGGAAGTGTTTTATCTTCCAAAAAAACAACGGCACATCTGCAAGATATCACTGTGCTGCTATTTGTCTGCTTTAGGACAAGGAAACTTGGGAGTGGGGCTGGGCACAGGGTTGGGAATTGAAAAGATTTTCACGATTCCGATTCCCTTATCGATTTTTTGAGACGATTTCGAGAAGGTAGTGAACGGAAGTAATCTAAATCTAATAGAGAAGGCGTCTGTTTAATGAAAAAGCATTACTCTGCAATTTCGGGAAATAACCTCATCTCCCCCTGATTTAAATAAACGAGTGTCACCTTTCTCTCACTCCCTGAACTGAGGAGCAACTTTGTAGCATGTTTAATAATCCCAAAGAGAGGTAGGTAATGGGTTTATTTCCAGAAATGGCATGTGAACAACTAGGAACCACATTAAGCACAGCCAGAGATATAAAACTAGCTACGGTACTTACCACCAGAGTTGGCTTCCATGCTGGTCTCAACTTTAGCTTCTGTCCGGAAGCATCAAAAACACGGCATTGGTTAAACTGTATGCCATGTTAAGGTGTTTCTGCATGTTGGATGTATTTCGTCCCGTGGATGTAATTGCCACTTTGCAATGATTGCAAAGCGCCTTGTTGCCATCTTTCTCTTCTTAAAATGAAGTCAAACTTTCAATCGCTTTCTTGCGTAAACAATGTTACGTAAGTCGTGTTGCCCAGAGCAACGCTTTGCTGCTGCCTGGAATCGATAAGAGAATCATTAAGCGAGCTGCCAAACGGTGCCATGGAATTGGAACACACAGAACCGGTTCTAAACAGGTCCCGGCTTTCGATTCCCATCCCTAGCTGGGCAATATACTGTAATCGCAATATAACAAATCACACTTTTCAAATCTCATAGTCACTCCATTTTGGTCAGATTACTGTACATTTAACTAGGGTTGTCAAAAGTATCGATACTCAAAAAAGTATCGATACTGAAACGTTGTATCCGGATACAATACTCATTTTCAAAAGTATCGAGTACCATTGGCACCTAAACAGTCATTCATCTAAAGTGCAGAATAGAGGAAAATTCACTTTCAGAACACTGTGTGATTGAATAATTCTGTGCACTTTTCAGTTTCAGACTTTTTTTGTAACAGCTGCTGAGAATTATTTTCTGTTTCTTAACCGGTTTGGCTAGTGTCATTGTTATGTGTGTAAAGCGTAGCCAAGTAAGGAAAACTTAATTTTAATTTTGTAAGTTTTTTATCAAGCTTGCTAAATACGGTGCACAGCAAACAACCTCAAAATGTTGTTCTTATTGTTTATTGTATTTATTTATTTATTGTATTTTAATTATTAATCAAAATATTTCTGTTGAAATTTGGAAATGTTATCCTTGTGGTATCGAAAATGGTATCGAGTATCATATATTTTCCTTAGTATCGGTATCGAGTTGAAAAATTTAGTATCGTGACAACCCTACATTTAACAGTGACTAAGTTTCTCACTCCAGCCTTTTAGGTGTCAGTAATAAGCTTAAAGTTGGTTTGCAACCAGAAAGAGACGGAAATAGAGAGTTGCAGCTAGCATGCAGATTAGTGCAACAATAATGCATGTCATGTCATGCAACAATAGATTATGGACAAGAAAGATTTCATGAAAAAACAGAAAGATTGGAGTGAAACAGCTGCATGCTTGTAGTCAGTGCAAAGAAAAAAAAATCATAATAAAATTGCAATCATAATATTGATTTAAAATCGTTCAGCCTTACTTGGGTGATACTTCATGTCCGTCACACAACCATGTTTCATTGAAATATAGAGCGTATGTACTTTGCTGGGTGGATTCAGTCATACATACACCGTATTACGTTTTGGTAGAAACAAGTTTTGTTCTTTGAATAAACAAAAACCACAGATTTAGAATATTTAGTAGGGGAATCATAATATTTCTAATAAGTTATTATTTAAAAATATACATATATATATTTTAGGTATGGTTCATGTTGATTTCCCTGGGGTATAGGTAGATCTGGGACACAGCGGCCCGGCTCTGAGCTCATAGGTACGGTTTTAACTTCCCATCAAACACAGTGAGCTGGATGGTAAAAATATGACCAAATGCTGCAGTTAAAGATCAACCCTGTTACACCTTAGAATCATAAAGGTCTTCCTGAAAACCATTTAATCTAATATAAGAGATTAGTCCCATGTATCCCACAAAGACAAATATAAATACAGATTGAGCTCAACTCGATTAAACCCATGAGCTTTATTCAGCTACTACTGATTCACTTCAGCTGGGTGATTGGAGAGATTGTGTAAGATTACATTGGTGGCACATTGTGTTATAATGCTTTAAGGTATATTTATAACAACATTGACCAAAAATAGAAAGTAGAAAATGTCTTTATAATGAAAATGTGATATTTTTGAGTTTTGCTTTTTATGGCAACATTTTCTGCTAGTCTTGATTTTGTACTTCAACCCAATGACATTTGCAAAACAGTGTTTTGGAGCTTAGACAGGAGCAGCAGGAAATCAGGAGATTAATATAAGGTGGAGGACCTGTGATGCTGTGGGCCTTTATAAATCTCAAAGGCATTGTGTACTTTTTGGTGTACTGGTTTAAAACAGGACTCGTTCAGTAAACTGTAATGGGTTTAAAACATCATGCAGTTGGTGAGGATCTAAGATAAAGCAACTCTGAAATACTTCAGCAATACGAAGTTACTTTTGCTTCAATATTCTTGTAAGATAAAAACAATTTAAAAAAAATGCAATCCAGAAATTAAACATTTTAAATCTTTTATCAAAATAAGGTCTCCAGATTAAATTCCTTTATTCTCAGATTTTATTTTTGTGCCGTCTGATTAAATTATAACATCCATTTAAAAATACATTTTTTTCAGTATTGCACCATCCACTAGAATCCCCAATGCGAATGAGCCAGAAAATAAATGTTTTTAATGTGAAACATGGTGGGGGCTGCATCATGGTGTGTGGATGTGTTTATTCAGTATAGACGGGGAGAAGTTGATGGAAATATGGATGGAGTTAATTACAAGGAAGAGGTCAACAAACTTGAGACATGCAGCCAGAGATACAGTGTCATAGAAAAGCTCGGTCGAAGGGAAGGACCGTAATCCAACCCAATACTGGCAATAATTCTTCTAATCAGTGAGCTAGTTATTTTAGAAAGGAAAACATAAAAAAATGTCAATCTCTAGATGTGCAGAGCTGGTACGGACAAGCATTATAATACTTGAAAGTGCAACTATAGTCATCATGTGGTTCAACAAACGACAAAAAAAGAAAAAATCTGCTTCTCTGTCACAAATAAAACCCACAAAATATGTAAAACCATTTTGGTTAAATAAAGCCTTTGATTCAGAACACAAATAATAAAAGCGTCGGGTTATTTCTTCAGGAGAATGAGAGATTAGAAAACCTGTTATAAAGCAACTGATTCATAGAAAGTTTGATAAGCAGACGAACATACCTAATGCTAAGGGATTATTAACTCTTAAGGTCAATTTATGCTTCTAACGCATAGCTTCTGCCTGCATCAAATCTTTCTGTGTGCGACCACGCCCCCTGAGAAGAGGTTCTGCAACCATCGTCGCGCACCTAAAAAAAACCTGACTACGCGTCGGACGGTCGCAAACCCGCGCAGACTTCAATTGGAAGTCTGCAGACAAAAAGCAGCTGTTATTGGTCCTTGGTATGCCTTTCCGACTGTCTGTATGGTCGTCCTTCTCGATTCAGTTCCTGGGGGCGCCATTTTTGAAAACCGAGGAACAACTACAATGGACAACTACGACGAACGGTTGATCGAGGTGGTTTGGAAGTACAACCACTTCAGACAAATTATATAAAGATGCCAAGGTCTCTGCCAAAACGAAGTTCTTGTTATCATCCGAAGTTCTAGCGTGTTCTCTGATAGGCTCCCCCTAGAGCTTTGGTGGGAAACTGCTGTGCGTCCCTAGAAATTCCAGACCGACGTTGCAGAAGCATAGCAGCAAAACTGGTTTGTGACCAGAACCAAGCGACATCTGATGTGTGCGGTTGCAGAAGTCTAATCTGTACAGATGGGAATTAGGATATATTATGCTGGTTATTTGGTAACGCTGCTAAGTAGGGCTGTGAATCTTTGGGATTCGATTCTTGGGGTCACAATTTGATTTTTTTCGGATTCTTTCAAATCCAAACGATTCGATTCAGAAACTAATAATTTACGATTCAAAACGATTCTCAGGATCTATTCCAGTCTGCTGGCATGAAAGAAGAGTACATTTATAAAGACTTTATAATTGTAAATGTTTTATTTACCTATTGTAATAATGTAAACACCGAAAGGTAAATCCAAGACAACATGTCTTGGATTTATCTACTGCTTTTTTTTGTTTTGCGATAAAACAAGCTATGGATTTTGTTATCTTCTTTGTCCATTCACAATTATGTGGCAGTTTTTCAAAGTGGTGAAATGTGCGCTGGTCGTTTTGGCACTGTCTTTACTGAATTATCCAATTCTACCAGCGACTCTGGGTGATGTCTTTCGAGATGAGAACGGGATTTGAAGTACTCCCGAAATACTTAACGTTAGCGTTGCAATCTCGGCAAATCGCGTGAGTCATGCCAAACCCTTTCTTACCTGGACTGGGTTGAAGGTAAAATCCAAAGTGTTTCCAATTGGTTGCTTTTAAATACCACGGAGGCGGTTGAATTTATTTTTTTTCGTCCGCCATACTTTAGCGGGAACAAACATAGTAGCTCACACAACACTACACACCACTCTGTAGCCTGCTAGGCTAACGCTTGCATGCCTGTGCATAGCTCATGCGGCTCATTTGTTTCGCCAAACACTACGGGCCCACAAAAAAAAACGTTTTTAAAGAAAATGAGAATCGATTGTGAATCTTTAAATGTTAGAAACGCGATTTGAGCTCAAATCGATTTTTTTCCTCACCCGTAATGCTAACGCATTTTTAGTCAATGCTGACATCTTGTTTTTCAGAGTTTTAGAAGTAAGGAGATCTTTGAAATATCAACAGCAGATTTTAAGGACAATGCCAGCTGTCGGAAAATATAAGTTGTTCGTTTTCTACTTTACTGCGGTATCACTCCAACTCTACATTTACAGGTTCATAGTCCTTTTTCAGCTTTTTCTTACTGTGGTTCTCCAGGAATGTCCTCTCTGTGACCCAGGCTGAAACGGGGCAGTGGAGGGTAAGACAGGACACTGGGGAAGTGTGTGTTTGCTGGTAATCTTGGAGGCACTGGGACAGGATATTCATGCTGTGTTCCTGTTGCAGAGCTGCTCCTCTATACTTGAACATAGGCTCTTTACTGAGGAAATTCCTCTAACTTCTAAGTGTCTATTTAAATGTAAATGTTAATGAACAAATAGCCCCTGCAGGAATATTTATATTGCTACACTAAATCCTTGTTGAGTTTTTCTACTTGTTACCTTTTAACAAGATTACCATTGATCAGATGATGCAGGCTGCAGAGTGTCGTCCTTAAGTATCTATTTACAATAATGATGAGGAGCTTAAAGGTGAACTGTTTATCTTTGCAGTTACCTTTTATTACGCTCGTGAAAATCACAAGCCCATTTCCGCCACTCTGTTAAAAAAATAAATAAAATTTTCTCAATATAATGAGATACTAACTCATTATAATGAGATAGTAACTCAATATAATGAGATACTATGTCATTATAATGAGATAGTAACTCATTATAATTACATAGTAACTCAATATAATGAGATAGTAACTCAATATAATGAGATACTATCTCATTATAATGAGATAGTAACTCATTATAAGGAGATAGTAACTCAATATAATGAGATAGTAACTCAATATAATGAGATACTATGTCATTATAATGAGATAGTAACTCATTATAATGAGAGAGTAACTCAATATAATGAGATACTATGTCATTATAATGAGATAGTAACATTATTTATTAATAACTTTTTTAAAGTATTTATTTATGTGAATTTTATAATATTTTTGTCTGTTTTATTCTTCCTTTGTATTTTTTTTTTACCCTATTTATGTCTTCAATACTATCTAAATAGTTTGTTAAATAAATAATTTGGAGCTAGATATTTATTTAAGACACTAAATATTTAATGTGCAAACAAATTCAAATGTTGTAAAGAAAGATAAAAAGGTTTAAAGTAATAAAAACCTACACAAAGCAATTTCTGTTATTTCCCACATTAGAAATGTAAGGCTATCTAACCCTCTCGGTCTATTTCAAGTAAGCCTTAAGTTTCACTTAAGGTTTTTATAACCTCTCCATCAGCAATTTTGGGTGATGCATTGGAAGGTTCCTTTAGGTTGTGTGTGTGGGATTTATATAGAGAAAATGACGGCCTTGGTGTAAACTCAGAGGTTTAAAAACACCAGATCAGAGAGAGAGGCAGCTCTGTCAAAGCTCAGCCATGATGTGCACGTTTAAGCCCATGTTTCAGCAGCTGTGGCCGACAGGAATACGAAGAGAACTCTGTTTGACTTCTCTGCTTTTTTTTCCACGTCTTCTGAAAGAATTTAAGTGGTTACCATCAAGCAGAACAGAAAAGTGAACGCAGCAGTTTCTTCCCCCCTTTTCACTGCATAATAGAGTTCATATGAGGCAGCTACAGTTTGGTGCATCTGTGGGTGACTTTCTATATTCAATAATGTTTTTTATGGGATTCATGCAGTTTTGCCAACAATGTGACCAAGCAGGGATTATGTTTCGACTGGACTGTTGTCTGAATGATGGGTTTAGATACAAAAATATGCTTAAATTAGGTATCAGTGCCCAAATGTTTGTGTTTTATTACAACAAACAATCACCTTTTAATTCATTTGAATATTTCCTTTCTATTTTTTCGGTGGGTTTTATTGAATCAATATGTGAGATGTTGATAGACTCCTACCAAACAAAAAAATAAAATGATGATGCTAAGCTCCAGGAGATGGGATCTGGAACCCAAGCTATGCATAGAGGTGAGTCCTTGTTTCAAGTGGAGGAGTATTTGGGGTCTTGTTCACGAGTGAGGGACGGATTGAGTGTGAGATCAATAGAGAGATCGGTGAGACGTTAGTAGTGATGCGGTCATCGGACTGTCGTGGTGATGAGGGAGCTGAGTCTGGGGGCAAAGCTCTCCATTTACTGATCAATCTACGTTCCCACCCTCTCCTAGAGTCATGAGATGTGGGTAATGACGGAAAGGACAAGATTGCAAATACAAGCGTCCGAAATGAGTTTCCTTCGCCGGGTGGCTGGGCGTTACCCGAGAGGGGCTCGGAGTAGATCGTTGCTCCTCCACGTCGAATGGTGCTAGCTGAGGTGGCTTGGGCATCTGTTCTAGATGGCTCCTGGTCGCCTCCCTTGGGAGGTGATGTAGGCATGTCCCATTGGGAGGAGGCATTGTGGAAGGCCCATGACACGCTGGAGGGACTATGTCTCTGAGCTGGCCTGGTGTCGCCTCGGGGTCCCCCCGGAGCAGCTGGAGGAGGTGTGTGTGGATCAGGAAGGGCATCTCTGATTAGACTGCTGCCTCTGTGACCCTGCGCCGGATAGAACGGAATAAAATGGAATGGAATGCTAAGCTTCAATATCAGTAACGCATTGGGAATGAAAAGGCTGTATTGGGAGATCTGTTTTGGTTAACAACCCTAAAATCAAAAATGTCGTTCCTCCTATTAACATATATGCTAATAAAAAGTGTTTTTAATTGGATAATATGGAAATATATGAGAAATAAAATGTTGTTGGGCTATTATTTGGCTAAATTGTCTCGCCAAGTACTTTCTTGACAAGAACAGAGGAAGTATGTACCTGGAGAGAACGATAATAAATATGTGTCAGTTTGAGCTGAAATGTACTCACCTCACGCATGGCTCAGCTGGACCTGCATTTCCCCTCAGTCTCTAGAAATAATCATTATTCCACTACTAAATGAAAAATAATTAATATTTTAATAACAGAGTCAGATAAAGATATTACAAATGAAAGTTTTCTCAAATAAAACAAAAAAAGGACCGCCATCAGAGCCAGCAGTACTTCACACATGATCAAGATGGCTACTGCAGACAGCCTAACATTAGCGCTGGCTGCCGCTTGCCTCGAAGTTTCTGTTGGTTGCCACGGTTTAAGTTTCGCCCTTAATCAGTCAGCGTGCCATATAGTAAAGCTTAAAAGTATAATGTTCTCACCTCAAGTGATCTGAAAACATACTTTTGTAGAAAAAGAGCAGAAGAAAAATGTACTTTAACTTAATACTCTGAGCTCTGGGAGCAAGCTTCTGCAGCAGTGCATGCTGGGACATGTCGGACATGTCGGTCTAAGTAACGCACAAGTCTTTCCTGATGCATGCTCGGTAAAGAGGGCAGGGCGAGAGCAACAGGCTACTGTAGTATTTTGTCAGTTCTCATTCTTGTGTTCTTGGTAATTGGAAGAGTGATGAGGCTGAGGCTGGTGGTGTCTCACGAGCACAGGGCAACGCACAAGTGCACTTAATAAGAAATGGCCTAAAGGTTTAAAAATTGATTCCTGGGTGCGTTTACCAATTTCAATGGTAATATGTCACAGTTCTGGAAGTGAAAGTGTCCAAACAGTCTTATAAAAAAATGTATCTTCACTATGAAGTACTGACTATTTCTCAGTTCAACAACTGAATATGTTCCGTCTTTTTTTGTATTTTGACGTCACTTCTTAACGTCCCTCCTTCCCTGTCTTCTCCCCAGTTCTCTCTTTTTGGCTCTCGCTCCACAAGCAGAGCTACCAACCCTCCCTCCTCATCCTCTCGATCTTCTTCTCCTGGGATCCATCCAGCCACGGTCGGGAAAAGGAGAGATCGAGTTTCCGCCTCTGGTTCGGTCACCCTAAGCAAAGCTGAGTTCCTTGAACGTGTGCGTCACAGTAACCAGGCCTGCCAGCAGGGGGAGTTTGCCCTGGCTGTTCGTCTCTACACTGAAGCCCTCACAGCGGATCCACAAAACTGTATCCTGTACAGCAACCGATCGGCAGCTTATCTGAGGCTTGGACAGTACAGCAAGGCTCTGGATGATGCAATCAAAGCTCGACTCATTAACCCTAAATGGCCCAAGGTAAGAGCTTTGACCTTTGATGACTCTTGGATGAGTAATTGAAATGAACGTTTGGGGAAGGTTGTAAGAGTCTTAATTATATCTGCATCCAGATTTTTATCAATTTCATTGCATATGTTGTGCTTCTTTAATTTTAGGGGGTTGTGGCACAGAGTTTGCTGCAATCCTTGATTTATGGCCTGTTTGAATAGTCTGGATTTTAATGTTTAGATAGCGAAAAAGCAAAAATGTATGCAGGAAGAATGTACAATGCTAAAAATGCTAATACAAAATGCTAAAAGTTGCACAGTTGAGCAGAAGATTGCAGCTCTGAGTTTCTCCACTGTTGTGTTTTAAAATGACTGCAAAGAGAGTTGTCTGACTAAAGGCTGGTTTTTGCTCAGAAACCAGGTCGTCTGCATGTGTGTCACAGTTAACAGAGATATGCCCTGCCCCCTCCGCAGTCACTCTGCTGCACCTCTCCAAAATTGTAGGTGACCGCAGACAGGAGGCCTCTGATTGGTCAAATCTACATCTGATCTACACTATCTGTATTTCTTGTTTGGTATGTTACTGGCGTGTTTTGTTTGTATGACCGCCATTGTGGGAAACGACTCATGAAGATGGACCAGTAGGAGAAGAGCGAGGTGCGTGAGAACGCTGGGACCCTTTTTCCACCTGGATCCCCGCTCTTTTTAACACTCATGTCCCTCCGTTGTCGCACAAACTTGCCCCCACTTCCTCACCGCATCGGCCGTATCTAGACCCACAGCTAGTTCATGATTGTCCCTCTTGCGTTGTGGCGTAGAATAACATAGCGCAGACCACGCTTCAATATTGGGAATAAATCAAAAATATCTGCAACAAGCTCACAGCGACACACTGCTGCACGAGGATAACCAGCCCTTTAGTCTCTACAATTTAAGTAAAAAGGATATAAAAAAGGATATATAGATTCGTAGATTGATTGGAATCTATATATCCTTTTTTATATCCTTTTTACTTAAATTGTAGAGACTAAAGGGCTGGTTATCCTCGTGCAGCAGTGTGTCGGATATAAAAAGGATATATAGATTCGTAGATTGATTGGAGGGTGGCGGCCGGGGGAGGGGACCCTGGCGGTCCGATCCTCGGCTGCAGAAGCTGGCTCTTGGGACGTGGAATGTCACCTCGCTGGTGGGGAAAGAGCCGGAGCTAGTGTGTGAGGCTGAGAGGTTCCGGCTAGAAATAGTCGGTCTCACCTCAACACATGGTTCTGGTTCTGGAACCAGTCTCCTTGAGAGGGGCTGGACATACTTCCACTCTGGAGTTGCCCACGGTGAGAGGCGCCAGGCAGGAGTGGGCATACTTGTTGCCCCCCATCTCGGTGCCTGTACGTTGGGGTTTACCCCGGTGAACGAGAGGGTAGCCTCCCTCCGCCTACGGGTGGGGGGACGGGTTCTGACTGTTGTCTGTGCTTACGGGCCGAACAACAGTTCAGATTACCCACCCTTCTTGGAGTCCTTAGAGGGGGTACTGGAGGGTGCCCCTCCTGGGGATTCCCTTGTTCTGCTGGGAGACTTCAACGCTCACGTGGGCAATGACAGTGAGACCTGGAGGGGCGTGGTTGGGAGGAATGGCCGCCCTGATCTGAACTCCAGTGGTGTTCTGTTGTTGGACTTCTGTGCTCGTCATGGATTGTCCATAACGAACACCATGTTCAAGCATAAGGGTGTCCATATGTGCACATGGCACCAGGACACCCTAGGCCGCAGTTCGATGATCGACTTTGTCATCGTTTCATCGGACTTGCGGCCGTATGTCTTGGACACTCGGGTGAAGAGAGGTGCTGAGCTTTCCACTGACCACTACCTGGTGGTGAGTTGGCTCCGGTGGTGGGGGAGGATGCCGGTCAGACCTGGCAGGCCCAAACGTGTTGTGAGGGTCTGCTGGGAACGTCTGGCGGAGTCCCCTGTTAGGCGGAGCTTTAACTCCCATCTCCGGCAGAACTTCGAACACATCCCGGGGGAGGTGGGGGACATTGAGTCCGAGTGGACCATGTTCCGTTCCTCCATTGTCGAGGCAGCTTATCTGAGCTGCGGCCGCAAGGTTGTCGGTGCCTGTCGTGGCGGCAACCCTCGAACCCGTTGGTGGACACCTCTGGTGAGGGATGCTGTCAGGTTGAAGAAGGAGGCCTATCGGGCCTTTTTGGCCTGTGGGACTCCAGAATCAGCTGATGGGTACCGGCGGGCGAAGCGGCATGCGGCTCGGATGGTTGCTGAGGCAAAAACTCGGGTGTGGGAGGAGTTTGGAGAGGCCATGGAGAAAGACTTCCGTACGGCTCCGAAGCGATTCTGGTCTGCCATCCGGCGTCTCAGGAGGGGGAAGCAGTGCAGCACCAACACTGTTTATAGTGGGGATGGTGTGCTGCTGACCTCGACTCGGGACGTTGTGGGTCGGTGGGCAGAATACTTCGAAGACCTCCTCAATCCCACCAACATGTCTTCCATTGAGAAAGCTGGGCCTGGGGACTCTGGAATGGGCTCTCCAATCTCTGTGGCCAAGGTCGCCGAGGTGGTTAAAAAGCTCCTCGGTGGCAGGGCCCCGGGGGTGGATGAGATCCGCCCGGAGTTCCTCAAGGTCCTGGATGTTGTAGGGTTGTGTTGGCTGACACGACTCTTCAACGTTGCATGGACATCGGGGGCAGTCCCCCTGGATTGGCAGACTGGGGTGGTGGTCCCCCTGTTCAAAAAGGGGGACCGGAGGGTGTGCTCCAATTACAGGGGAGTCACACTCTTAAGCCTCCCCGGCAAGGTCTATTCGGGGGTGCTGGAGAGGAGGGTCCGTCGGATAGTCGAACCTCGGATTCAGGAAGAGCAGTGTGGTTTCGGTCCTGGTCGTGGAACGCTGGACCAGCTCTACACCCTCAGCAGGGTCCTGGAGGGTGCATGGGAGTTCGCCCAACCAGTCTACATGTGCTTTGTGGACTTGGAGAAGGCGTTCGACCGTGTCCCTCGGGGGGCCCTGTGGGGGGTTCTCCGGGAATACGGGGTGCCGGGCCCTTTGATACGGGCTGTCAGGTCCCTGTATGACCGGTGTCAGAGTCTGGTCCGCATTGCCGGCAGTAAGTCGGGCTCATTTCCGGTGAGAGTTGGACTCCGCCAGGGCTGCCCTTTGTCACCGATTCTGTTCATTACCTTCATGGACAGAATTTCTAGGCGCAGCCAAGGTGTTGAGGGGATCCGTTTTGGTGGCCTTAGGATTGCGTCTCTGCTTTTTGCAGATGATGTGGTCCTATTGGCTTCATCAGGTCGTGATCTGCAGCTCTCGCTGGATCGGTTCGCAGCCGAGTGTGAAGCGGCCGGGATGGGGATCAGTGCCTCCAAATCCGAGGCCATGGTCTTGAGCCGGAAAAGGGTAGAGTGCCTTCTCCGGGTCAGGGGGGGTGTCCTGCCCCAAGTGGAGGAGTTTAAGTATCTTGGGATCTTGTTCACGAATGAGGGAAGAAGGGAGCGGGAGATCGACAGGCGGATTGGTGCAGCGTCTGCCGTGAAGCGGGCGCTGTACCGGTCCGTCGTGGTGAAGAGAGAGCTGAGTCAAAAAGCGAAGCTCTCGATTTACCGATCGATCTACGTTCCTACCCTCATGTATGGTCATGAACTCTGGGTCATGACCGAAAGAACGAGATCGCGGATACAAGCGGCTGAAATGGGTTTCCTCCGTAGGGTGGCTGGGCTCTCCCTTAGAGATAGGGTGAGAAGCTCGGTCATCCGGGAGGGACTCGGAGTAGAGCCGCTGCTCCTCCACGTCGAGAGGAGCCAGTTGAGGTGGCTTGGGCATCTGTTTAGGATGCCACCTGGACGCCTCCCTGGTGAGGTGTTCCGGGCACGTCCCACCGGGGGGAGGCCCCGGGGAAGACCCAGGACACGCTGGAGAGACTATGTTTCTCGGCTGGCCTGGGAACGCCTTGGGGTTCCTCCTGAAGAGCTGGAAGAAGTGGCTGGGGAGAGGGAAGTCTGGGCCTCCCTTCTTAAGCTGCTGCCCCCGCGACCCGACCCCGGATAAGCGGAGGAAGATGGATGGATGGATGGAGATTGATTGGATCTTTTCTTAATGCTGTGTCTTTGTCTTCATTTTTTAATAGAATAGAATATAAAATTCCTTTATTGTCCAACAATGGGGAAATTCTGGTGTTTACAGCAGCAAGAAGATTATAGAAAAATGGTCACATAAATGTGGACCTTAGAAAAGTGAATAAGAAAATAGAATAAGGAATAAGAGTTGTCTTTTATCTTGATGTTCTGATAGGAGGCTCTGGGATGGATTGAGTACAACATGGAGTTGCGGTAGATCAGTGTATTTAACAAATATTTATTGGCCAAACAGTTTCTTCACTAAGAGTTATTGCAGGATAATTCGGCTGTATTTAGTAGGCACCGTCTGGTGTTCAGATAGTGCCGTGGCACTGCCAGCAGATGGCGCCACATTTATATCTGCTCATCACACCCGGTGCTGGAATTCAATTTAGGCTAAAAAAAGGACCAATGCCTGGTGTATATAACCCTATTTTGTAACGATGAAATAATTTTTTGCTTTTATTGTCTTGGTATACACAGTAACAGTAATGGACCTATGCACCACTGATGAGATGTTTCAAAAAAGTTATGTAGTTAGGAGAGTTATACAGTTATGGAGATTTCTCACAGTTTATCTTGCTTATTTGACACCAATTTCTTTCATAAAAAAAAGACTAAATGAGGACTTAGGAGCATTTCCATGTGAGAAACACATTTTATGTTAGATGATAGATAAAAACTGTTGGGTCTCACTGTACATTTTTGTTTTCATGATGAGACAAACAGTAAAAGTCCTGAATCAAAACACTTCAACAGAAAATATCAAAAATACACAGATAAAGCTCAAACTGCTTCTCTTTATATGAAGTGATTCTTTTTATCAAAACAGTAAAAAAGTCAGAGAATATACCCAGAGAGTCTTTCAGATCCTTTCAGAGAGGAAAGTGGGGAGTCTGAGGACTGAGG